CCCGTCACCCATTCCCAGCTTCTGGCAAACAGAGGCTAGGAACACCATCCCTGCCCATCCTGGCTAATAGCCATTGATGGACCTATCCTCCATGAATTTATCTAGTTATTTTTTGAATCCTGTTATAGTCTTGGCCTTCACAACATCCTCTGGCAAGGAGTTCCACAGATTGACTGTGCTTGTGTGAAAAAATACATCCTTTTGTTTGTTTTAAACCTGTTGCCTACTAAGTTCATTTGGTGACCCCAGTTCTTGTGTTATGAGAAGGAGTAAATAACACTTCCTTATCTACTGTCTCCACACCCGTCATGATTTTATAGACCTCTATCAAACCCCCGCTTAGTCATCTCTTTTCCAAGCTGAAAAGTCCCAGTCTTATTAATCTCTCTTCATATGGTAGACGCTCCATGCCCCTCATCATTTTTGTTGCACTTTTCTGAACCTTTTCCAATTCCAATATATCTTTTTTGAGATGAGGCGACCACATCTGCATGGAGTATTCAAGATGTGGGTGTACTATGGATATATATGTGGGCGTACCAAGGCATATGTTACATACCACAGTTAACAGTTAATATTTGAATTTCTTCAGAAATCTTGAGTGAATACCATCTGATCCTGGTGACTTATTACTGTTTAATTTATCGACTTCTTCCAAAACCTCCTCTATTGACTCCTCAATCTGGGACAGTTCCTCAGATTTGTCACCTATCTTCTTTGAGTGCTCCTTTAGCCAATATCTCGCTCCTGAGGTTAAGCAAGGATGCAAGGTGTATCTCTTGCACGTATGCAGCTTCAGACCTGGTCCCTGTGCTGCTCTCCTCTCTGCCACTTTGGTCCCTGCACAAGTGATTGCTGATTGGCACGGGAAAGTTTCCTACAATGGGGGAATGAACAAAGCAGCACTGCCAAGGAATCTTCAGTAGAGGATTGGCGAGTACCTCCAGGAAAGTTTCCTAGTGATCTCTCTGAAGAATTACCATGAAATCTCTCCTACACAGGGCCGTCCTTACCAATATGCAAAATATGCAGCTGCGTGCTGCTCCAGCCCCTGCTCCGCCTCTTCCCCATGGCCCCTGCCCCGCCCCAGTGCCGCCCCACTCCACCCCTTCCCCAAAGCTCCCGCCCCTGCTCCACCCCACCTCTTCCTGCCCCTGTTCTGCCCCAGCCCCACCCCCACTCCATCCCTCCCCCTGAGGACTGTAGCAGGGGTCGGACCTGCCCTGCATTCACCGGGGCGGCAGTAAGTGGAGCCACCCGGCCCCAGCCCGCTCCGCGCTGCCGGCTCCCAGCCGTGCCACTGGTGAATGCTGGGAGGCGGTTCCCTCCTTCTGCCCAGTCTCAAGGCTGGGAGCCAGGGGAGCAGAGCAGAGTGGGCTGTGGCCAGATCACCCCACTTCCCACCGCCCCATGAGTGCAGGGTCAGGCCTGCCCTGCACTCACTGGGCGGCGGGAAGTGGAGTGACCCGGGCCCAACCCGCTCCGCTCCACTCCACTGGCTCATGCTGGGGGGCAGTTTTCCTCCTGCCCCCCAAGCCTGCACCTGCTCCCCCGCAGAGCCCTGGGGCTGCCCCTCCCCTCCCCACGGGGGGGCTGCGTAGGGCACCAAAATGGCTAGGGACGGCCCTGCTCCTACATCATTTATTTGGGGGAAAACGTTGGGTCTGATTTTTTTGTTTTAAAAGCCCCAAAGATTCTATTTCCCTCCTTCTCTCTCTGATCTCGGCCTACACTGGGGATATTTGATGTTTTCACTTTTAGCGCCAGCTACTGGAGTCAGGTGATGAGTTAAGAATCACAGCTTTCATTAGAAACTCGAATTTTTTTTAACTCTTTGCTTGTGGAGAAAAGTTTAAAGATCTAGAGTTAAAAAAAAAAGTACCACACAATTTTTTTAACAAGAAGTCTTGTGCTTTTTTGAAGCTAATCTTGTGATTTTGCGGGGATCTGAGTGGTGATTTTTCAAGACTTGGATTTGGAGACAGGTTTCACTGTTCTGGGATGCTTTACTGGGATGAAATAAATCTGAACAAATAATCCCCACCAGGAGTTACCGGGGCTGGTTGCAGGAAGCGGGTGAGACTTTCTGGCCTGGTCTTGCCTGGCAGAATTTGATTTTTATTTTTTATAATTTCAACAGATAATATTGATGTTTCTTAAGTATTTTTTAAAATTCTTTTCAAATGTAAATGTTCACAGTTCCAGGAAATTAGGGGGCAAGGCTAGACAATAGTTATTTAATGACAGTAGACACTGAGATTCAGAAAGTTAAAGTTTTATAATGGTTAAAACACAAACTGTCACCAGCACTCATCAAAACTATGGAAAGTAGAATACCCTTAAATCCATGTGTAACAAGCCTCATTCAGAAGTCGAAATCACTGCATAATGAGTTCTCAAGCAGGATTTTTCTACTTTTCCTGTCTGTAAATTGCAATGACTATCGATGGAAATATTTTTTCACTGGTTAGTGTGGGGATGGTGAAAGTAACGTTTACCGATAAAAATCAAATCCTTCCAAGCCTAGTTATGCAGGAGGCCAGACAGGATGGGCACAAGGGGCCCCTTCTGGCCTTGAAATCTGTATATATCCCCTCCCACTGCACCCAGGGGCCTTGTGACCATGCAGACTTCCAGAGATCCCCCATAACTATGCCTCAGTGCAGAAGAGTCAATATTATGTGCTTTGCAGCAACAATACCCCAGCTGAGATCGTGGGGCCCTAACTGTGCCGGGTGCTGCCCAGATCCATTGCCCTTACCCCAAAGATCTCAGCCTGTACATTCAAAAACAAACCCAGGGGTGGGAGTTAGGCTTATTAAGCTACTGGAAACTCCCCGGGTGTCCAAAGTGAAGCAGTGCAATGTAATCAGTGGTCCCCCAGAGTTCTTTAGTGGCTTACAGACAGTAAATTAACATCCTTTCCCCTAGGGGGAGCCACTGTATCACTAGCTGGCTGTAGACTAGTTATTCTGCAATTCACAAATTCAGGGCTCTCCATCCTGGCGCTTAAGCATCCAAGCCACAGTGATGCTTCCCTCCAACCTCTCGTTACACCCACGCCTCCTGCTGGAGCAGGGGTGTTCAGCCTTCTGCTAAAATACACTTGGGGAAAAGGAAAGGGACATTTGTCAAGTTAAACAAAAAAATGCAACCAATGGGCCCATCTAGCCCGATATCCCCACTCCCTGCGGTTCCAGATCAGACCCCTGCATCCATCTGCCAAGATCAGAACCATGGGCCCATCTAGCCTGGTATCCCGTTTCCAGCAGCGGCTTCAGAGGAGCCTGTAAGGAGGCCCCTAGTGGACAGTTCCAGAACAGCCTGCCTGCTGGGAAAGCTTCCTCCAAACAACTGTTACTTCCTCACTCTTGTCCTTTCAGCTCCTTCTGATGACAAAAATGGAAAACATTTGAGGCTGAGCTTTTCCCAGCTCCCCGCTGGGTTTGGATCCCCACCACAAAGGCAGCTGCAAAAGCCCCATTCTTTAAAATAAAAATTTCCCTGACTCACTGATTTTTGCCAAGTGTTTTGACCTTCTCCCAGCTAGGACAATGGAGATCGGATGGCCCAGGCATTACAATCCTAACTTAGGACGTGGGGGACGTGAATTCATTCCCCATTCCACCACAGACTCTCTGGGGGGCCTTGAGTAAAGCACATATGTGCTCATCACACATGCAGCTCTGCATTATGACAATAAATAAAATCTAATCTCATGCTTCAGAGCTTCATCCCTGCAGCTGTCAGGAAGGCCTTTTCCCCCTGATGCACAGTTGGCCAGGTTCATTCTGAGAGGTTTATTTCCTCCCTTCCTCTGAAACACAGAGCTTAGCAGCTGGAGGCAGGACACTGGACAGGGTGAGCCAGTGCTTTGAGCTGGTCCAGAGAATACTTTCTCTGTGCCTGACTGGTGGGTCTTGTTCACATGGTTAGGGTTGCCAGATTTGGGGTCAGGAAGCAATTTTCCCCCAGGTCAGATTATCTGAGGCTTTGTTGTTGTTTTGCCTTCCTCTGCAGTGTAGGGCGTGGGTCACCTGACAGCATCATCTGGGCATATCTCATCTAATCAATTCCTCGAGGAGCTGAGCCAGAAGCTCTTCCCGCATGCAGTGCATTTGTAGGGTCAATCCACCATGTGGGCATCAGTGGTGGGCTGGGTTGGGATCTTCTCCTCCCTACTCAGGGCGGCCCTGCATGGCTCTGCTCCTGCAGGCCCTTCCTGGTGGGGAGTCACTTCCGCTCCAGGAGAGAGGGTTTGTCTACACTGCCCACTAAATCTAGGGCTGTGGGCTCCATGTGTGTGAGCATCCACACTGCATTGTGAACAGACTCTCATGGGGCACAAAGGGGCTATTGTGTCTCTACTTCTCTCTCTGAGGACAGGTTTACACACAGCCCCTTTATTCAGTTTCTCTCTGCTGTAACCCAGGCTCTCAGACATTCAATTCCCAGAACAACCTCGGGGTTATAAATTTGCTCAGCAAACACAGTTACTATGTGAGCAGAGGGTAAATTAGGAGGCAGGGTCTATTTCGGCTGAACTCACACATAGGGCTCAAGGCCACCTGGGTTCTAATGGTTAAAGCACCAGTGGCTGGGAGCCAGGACTCCTGGGTTCCATTCCCAGCTGGGGCTAGGGAGTGGCCTCTAAGGCAGCAGTGGCTAGTGGCCAGGACTCCTGGGTTCTATTCTTGGCTGCGGCGGCGGCGGGGAGTGAGGTCTAGTGGGTTAAAAGCAGCATTTGGGGGCGGGGAGTGAGGTCTAGCGGATTAGAGCAGCATGTGGGGGCGGGGAGCCAGGACTCCTGGGTTCCCCTCCCAGGTGGGGGAGAGCAGTGCGGTGAGCGCTGGAGGGGTCTCTGTCCACTCCCAATCCACTCGGTCTGCGGCTGCTCTCCCGGCCAATGGTAGCCGGGCTGAAGTGGGGGGGTGGCCTGTCCCAGCCAATCACTATGGAGATTCTCCCGGGTTCCCCCCCCCCATCCTCTCCACCCCCGCTCCCCCCGCCCCATAACGTTGTCTCCGCTCCCGAGTCCCTCCCCTGGTCCCCTTCCCGGCGGGGACCACAGCGCTGGGCGAGCTGGAGCCGGGGGCGCACCCGAGGGCGGGGAGCCCAGCTGGGCAGCCCGCTCCTGCCCCCGCGGTGAGTGGGAGGCGGTGGCTGGGGAGGGGGGGCACAGGAAGCAGTCAGCACCAGCCCCAACTTCCTCCGGAGTCCCTGGGAGGGGGAGTCCCCCAGAGCCAGCGGGGTAACGTGGCGGGGGGGCTGGCAGCAGCACGTGGGGGGGGATCGGCGGGGGAACAGCTGATGGCTGGGGGCAGGGTTCCGGAGGGTGGGGAGGGGACGATCCTGGCCAGGGTGGGGATGGGCCCGGATGGGGCGGCCCCAGCGCTGCTGGGGGACAGAGGTGGGAACTGTCCGGGGCTCAGTGAGCAAGGCGTGTCCCTGCCCTGGGGAAGAGGGGCTTAGATGTCAGGACACCTTGGCTCTCTTGGAGGGGTGGGGGGGTCAGGACTCCTGGGTTCTATCCCTGGCTCTGGGAGTGGAGTCTAGTGGGTTGGGGCTGGGGGTCAGGTTCTACCCCTGGCTCTGGGAGAGGGTCTAGTGGGTGGGGCTGGGGGTCAGGACTCCTGGGTTCTATCCCTGGCTCTGGGAGTGGAGTCTAGTGGGTTGGGGCTGGGGGTCAGGTTCTACCCCTGGCTCTGGGAGAGGGTCTAGTGGGTGGGGCTGGGGGTCAGGACTCCTGGGTTCTACCCCTGGCTCTGGGAGTGGAGTCTAGTGGGTTGGGGCTGGGGGTCAGGTTCTACCCCTGGCTCTGGGAGAGGGTCTAGTGGGTGGGGCTGGGGGTCAGGACTCCTGGGTTCTACCCCTGGCTCTGGGAGTGGAGTCTAGTGGGTTGGGGCTGGGGGTCAGGTTCTACCCCTGGCTCTGGGAGAGGGTCTAGTGGGTGGGGCTGGGGGTCAAGACTCCTGGGTTCTACCCCTGGCTCTGGGAGTGGAGTCTAGTGGGTTGGGGCTGGGGGTCAGGTTCTACCCCTGGCTCTGGGAGAGGGTCTAGTGGGTGGGGCTGGGGGTCAGGACTCCTGGGTTCTACCCCTGGCTCTGGGAGGGGGTCTAGTGGGTGGGGCTGGGGGTCAGGACTTCTGGGTTCTACTACAGGGTCTGGGAGGCAAATGGGGTCTAGTGGCTTGTGGAGGGGCTGGGGGTCAGGACTCCTGGGTTCTACCCCAGGCCCTGGGAGTGGGGTCTGGACCTTGGTGCATGCTGCTGTTTTTGACTGTGTATTTTCCTCTCCCACAGCTGCACTTGGCCCCGTCTCCAGACCCGATGGAGGAGGAGGAAGAGGAGATGGAGGAGCGGGAGGGGAGCTCTCAGTCTGAGGGACGCAGGCTGGTGATCTCCATGGATGGGGATTCAGTGAGTGACTGGTGGGCAGGGACTGTGTCCTTGGGGATTCCCCTTCTGCTCTCTGCGGAAGTGTCTAGGCTGACTTGCCTCCAGCGGGCCCCATGTGGGAAGCTGAGGCAGCAGCACTGGGCTGTGGGGCTGATCTAGGGGAGGAATGGTGGCTGGCTGACTGGCCCCAAGGGCTAGTCCAGGGTGAGGAATGGGGGTGGCTCATTGGGTCCAGGGAGGAGATATGGGCTGTGTGTGGCCAGGTCTAGGGGGAAGGGAGCTGGCTGGCTGGGCCGAGACCTGTCCTAACCTTGTTCCCATCCCTTGTACATATGCAGCCAGGTCTGGGGTGCAGCCTGCCACCCTACCGGCAGTGCTGGTTGAATACATGCAATGGATCCTGGGCCCTGCCACATCCGGAAGGGATTTGGTGTGGGTCTAGAGTGGGAGCTTGTCTTGCTGAGTCCCCCTTCCCCTCTGACGCTCCCCTTTAGTCGCAGTCCCCTTCTCAGCCAAAGTGGGGCTCTCCCATGCCTCCGGACGGGCAGCCCGAGCTGCAGCAGGAGGAAGAGGAACCAGAGGATGAGGAGGAGGACCAGGAGTTCCAGGTGCGGACGTTGAGGATCCCAGCGGATGGGGACTTAGTGAGTAACTAACATGCTGATAAATGCCCCTCTCCATGCGATGCTAGGGGGTGCTGTGCTGCAGGGCGGTGAGCCTCTCACAGTGCTGACCCCAGTGCATTGCTAAAGGGTGCTGTGCAGCAGGCAGGGGAGCTCAGTAGGGGGCGCTCGCCCCTCTCAGTCAGTGCTGACCCCAGTGCCCCCATGTGTGCTCAGGGGTGCCGTGCTGCATGGAGCAGGGTGGGGAGGCCCAGTGGGTGGTACTCTTACCTTCGCCCTAGAGACAAGGTCTTACATAGGTGCGTGGAACAGTCCACACCCACTGTGCTTCATACATCCTCCTGTGGTTTCAGCTAGATTACACTTCCCGTCTTAAACTGCTTTGTGACTGATAACCAGCCTCTGTGTCGTAACCCGCAGGTGGCTGCATCACAGCACCCGGTGAGGGACCCCTATATAAACAGCCCCTCCGTGCCGCCCCAGAGCAAGTAAAGCTTTTGGGCCTGTGAAAAGATTGGGGTGCATGTTAACCCAGCAATAGCTGAGCGGTTTCTGTACTGTGGGGGAAAATGCCCCAAGAGCAGGGGAAATTACTGCTGAGTATTAAAGAGGAGCTAGCAGAGCTCAGATGGCTTACCCCATGGGGTAAAGGTTCAAGACTCCTGGGTTCTATCCCTGGTTCTGGGAGGGCAGTGGGGTCTAGTGGGTTAGAGCAAGGGGGACTGGAAGTCAGGACTCCTGGGTTCTGTCCCCAGAACTGGAACCTTAAGTAATTCATTCTCCCTATCTTGTGCCTCAGTTTCCCCCTTAGGCCTAAACACTTATCTGCCTGTCAGTGAGAGGAGTCCCAGCCTCTCCCCCAGTCCAGCCCTGTCTGAGACCAGGTAGCGGGGGGTTTGAACTGTGCTTAGGGGCTGGATCCAGTTTGTGCTGAGGGACCAGGCTGGGGTGACCCTCCCATGCTGTTTAACAATCTCCCCCCTTGCCTTTCCCTTAGCTGGACTCTGCAGCTTTCCCGGAGGAGCTGTCTGAGGAGGGAGATGAGGAGGAAGAGGAGCTAGTAATCAGAAGGGTGAAGGCAGAGGAGGAAGAGGACCAAGAGTTTGAGGTACAGAAGCTGAGGGTTTCCATGGATGGAAATTCAGGGATTGGGGCGGACGGGGGAGGTGGCTGGGTCGATGCAGAGGGGAGGTTTGCTGGGCTGAATTGGGGGGCAGGATGTCTATAGGCCGAGGGGTCACGGGGCCAACCCAGGGGCGTGAGAGAGGAGGGGGGTTGGGCTGGCTGGGCTGATCTAGGTGGAGAATGGCTGGCCCAGGGGCCAATCTGCGGGGAGGCAGGGGGCTAGGCTGGCTGGGCCAATGTGGGGCAGCAGTTCCTTTGCTCTGACCCTGTCCCACCAGCTGGAGTCGGTGGCACGCCGGGGCTCGCGGCCTGCGAAGGAGCCAGTGGTGGATTCGGAAGTGCAGGTGGAGCCCAAATTCGAGGGGCAGAAGCTGAGGATCCCAGTGGAGGGGAATTCTGTGAGTAACCAATGGAGAGTGGTGGTAGGGAACAGCTCCTTCCTCACCACCTGAGCCCCCGTGAGGGACCATGGCGAGGGGACTGGATGTGGGTGGGGGCTGGTGCCTTAGAGAGTGTTTGCTCAGCTGTTGGGGAGTGAGGGGTTAAATTGGGGCTCCCTGGGACAGGGCAGGGCTGGACGGGGAGGGGGGAATCCTGTGGTTACAGGGATGGGGGAATTCTGGGGATCCCCTTATCAAGATAACCCCCCTTAGTGGCACTAGCTTACCCCCAACCCGCCACCGTAAATGAGGGGCAGAATGTTGGGTGGTGGCCGAGGGTTCCGAGGGCGGAATGTTGGGGGGGACCGAGGGTTCCGAGGGCGGAATGTTGGGGGGGACCGAGGGTTCCGGGGGCGGAATGTTGGGATTGCAGTTAGTGAGGGAGAAAAGGAGAACTAGTAGAATGGGGGAGGGCCAGGGTGGGGCAGCAGTGCCGGGAGAGGGTTCATGGTCTCTGACTCTCTCCTGAGGGGTGCTATCCCTGGATCTGGAAAGGCAATAGGGGTTAGTGAGTTCAAGTGGGGTTGGAGTTGGGGGCTGGGAGTCAGGATGCCTGGGTCCCATCCCCAGCTCTGGGATGGGGGTAGGAGACGGGGGGCTCTATTCTTAGCTCCGTGGAATTGAATTAATGCCTTGGTGCCTCTTCCCCCCCCCCCCCCAGCCTGTCCTGCAACTGATGGCATCCCCAGGGGGTGGGGGCAGGACGAGGGCACCGATGCCGGAGCGCTCCAACACCTGTGTGGAGTGCGGCAAGAGCTTCAGCCGTCGCTCCAATCTGGTGAAGCACCAGATCATCCACACCGGCGAGAAGCCCTTCTCGTGTGGGGAGTGTGGACGCAGCTTCACCCAGAGCTCGGCCCTTACCAAGCACCAGCGCACCCACACCGGGGAGCGCCCCTACGTCTGCGGGGAGTGCGGCAAGGCCTTCACCGCCAGCTCCAACCTGCTGCAGCACCAGCGTTTCCACACCGGGGAGCGCCCCTACGTCTGCGGCGAGTGCGGCAAGGCCTTCAGCCAGAGCTCCAACTACAACCTGCACCGGCGTACCCACACCGGAGTCACCCCCTACCAGTGTGGCGTCTGCGGCAAGCGCTTCACGGGCAGCTCCTGCCTGGCTCGCCACCGGCGCACCCACACCGGTGAAAAGCCCTACCAGTGCTCCGAGTGCGGCAAGCGCTTCTCCGGCAGCTCCACCCTGGTCAACCACCGGCGCACCCACACCGGCGAAAAGCCCTACGGCTGTGCGGAGTGTGGCAAGGCTTTCACCCACCATTCCAACCTGGTGGACCACTGGCGCGTCCACACTGGCGAGAAGCCCTACATCTGTGCTGAGTGCGGCAAGAGCTTCCGGCTCAGCTCCCACATCATCCGGCACCGGCGCACCCACGCCAACGCCGGCGCTGCCAACGCCAACGGGGCTGACCGCCTGTACATCTGCAGCCAGTGTGGCAAGGGCTTCCAGGTCGGACCCAGCCACCTGCAGCAGCAAGCCCACCGGGAAGAGGGACCCTATAGCTGTACCGAGTGTGGCAATAGTTGCTGGACGTAGAGGGGCGGAGCCTGTTGCAGGGGCGGGGCTTGTCAGTCCTGTCCCCCGCCCCTCCACTCCAGGCACTTTGTACACCCACAGATGGTGGGATCGGTTCCTTGGCGGGGGGGGAATTGGATCCTGCCAGGGGCAGGGCTTGGAGCGCAGCTTGCTCCAGGACCCCCCTGTATGCGGGGCGTGTGGCATCAGCTGCTGGAGGGGGTGGGGCTTGGAGCGCAGCTAGCTGCCATGCCCCCAGTTCCAGGGTCCACCTGTGGGATCAGTTCCCCCAGGGGTGGGGCCTGGTTCCCCCAGGGGGTGGAGCTCTGCCAGCAGCAGTAGAAGGACCTTCAGAGCGTTATGTGGCAGTGTTGGCCGGATGCAGAGAGGGGGCAGGGTCCTTCCGAGTAGGAGGAACGTGGATCCTGAGGGGGGCAGAGCCCAGCCTCTCTCCCCCATGGCAGAGTCCCCAGGCTCCCTCGCTTTCTGTGGTATTGCTCCTGCTAGGGTGAGGGAACACAGCCATGGAGAGAATTTGGGGGTGGTGGGGGTGGTGGGGGTGGGGTGAGTGGCAGAGTCTCCCCCTACCCCCTCACAGAGGGCTGAGTTGTAAGGTGGGGTCCCCTGTGGTCCATCTTCCCATCTCTACTGGAAGAAGTAAACTTGGAGGGCGGGAAGCTGCATTATGAGGGTGAGGAGTGGGTTGGGGCTAGTGGAGGGTGCCTCGAAGGGTGGGGGGGGAACAGATCCCCCGCCCTTCTGAACCTGGCCCCCACTCCGGTGGGGCTATGCCACGTTGGTGGAGAATCAGTGGAAGGGGCTGACTCGGAGGCAGGGACCTTGGATCTGCTGGCGAGCAGGTGCTGTGGACTTCAACCCTGTTTCCCTACCCTCGTGCTGTGGGCTGAGTGCAGAGGGGCTGCTATTTTAGGGGAATCCATAGACTGGGGCACAGTTTGGATCTCCAGGGGGTGACCCACCAGGGATCTGATTCCCCTGCGCTGGGGGTCACAAGGGAGCCCAGAAATTGATGCCCGGTGGATTTCGCAGCAGGACAATTCCCACAAGTCTGGGTCTGTGGCTGGAGAGCAGAGCGGGGAATGGAGGGATGATGTTGCCCATACGGCCGTGTGGGTATGAAGCTGCCCCCTGGCTGGCCTGTCGGGGGATCACGGTGCTGTGCGGAGAACAGGCTGTACTTCTCTTGTTTTGAGTGGGCAAAAAAATCATAGCCAGACCCTGCTTTGTCTGAGTTGTCTCTGCAGCGCTGAGCCCGGGAATGCGCTCTGTGCTGGAGCGGGAGCAAAGTGTCCTGGGATCGGCCGTCTCCCCCTCCACCCAGCAGCCATCATTAACCCCTGCAGGCCCCACCCCAGGTGTCAGCCCGTCCCTTTGTTCACCTGGGAGGTTGCTGGTTCTGGACCTCGCTTTCTGCTCCTGGGAGCCGGGTAGGGGTGTGTGAGGCTGCTGTGAACTGGAGGGGCTGCTTCTCAACAGCTTGCAAAGACATGCTTTCACACAGGGAGGGGCCACCTGGCTCCACCACCAGGCTCCTGTCTCTGTGGCACACACAGCTGCTGGCTCGGGAGCCCGGTGCCAGCCAGGGAATGTCCCCTCCTGGGCCCGGAGCAGCCAGTGAAGATTCCTGGAGCCCAGTTAGTCCTGCCCCGTTCCCAGCTGGCACCTGGCCATGCTCTAGTTCTGGGCTGCATGATCAGTGTCATCCCCTATAGGATAAATCCTCTTCTCCTTCCCTCACCACTCTGCACTTGCCCAACTCCATCCCCAGAGCCTTCACTGCAGTGAGCAATAACAGCCCCATCTGGCCTGTGTCCAAAGGATTTGAGGTAATAGCAGAGAGTTAGGGTTATTATTATTGTTAGGTATATTACAGTGGCAGCTGAAGGTCTGCCTCTGTGCTGGGAGTTGTACAGTATGCATGCCAGGTGCTGGGCAGGTCCAGGGTGAGGGACAGCCCCTGTCCCAGAGAGCTCCTAGTCTAGACAAAGGGTGGGTGGGGAAACTGAGGCACAAAGAGGGACGTGACTTACCCAAGGTCACACAGCAGGTGAGTGGTAGAGCTGAGGATAGAACCCAGGAATCCTGAGTCCCAGCTCCCCTGCCTCCACAACCCATTGGGCCAAATTCAGCTCTTTCTGAGGTGGCAGAAGATTGAGGAGCGGGGAGGAGAGGAAGCCCTTGTGTGGTAGAAGGGGATAACAGAGAAGTGGGAGCTAAGCTTGGTACCATCTCGTGAAACTCAGATCACCTGGGCTCTTTCTGCCAGTAGAGGGCTTCCTGGGTCAGGGTCTTCCTGTGTTGGTTGCCTGTACAGCTCCTGGCACGCTGTGGTCCCAGTACTTGATCCATGCTAGCAGGAACTGCCTCAGTACAGATAATCAATAGTAATTAGTGAGATGGTTGGGGCATGAGTCATGACAGATTATACTGGCCTCATAAACAATTTCTGTTGCACGCGCAGAGCCGCACACACAGATGGGGAGTAAGGAAGCTGCCTGTTCCCGCCAGTTCCAAACTCTCGGAAAAAACTGGTTTTGGGTTGAACCAAACCCCCAATGTTTTGATGTTTTCAGCAAATCAAAAAGTTAGGAGGGTGGAAAAAACATTTTGGATCAAATAAAATGGTTTGTTTTAATTTTAAGCATTTTAAAGCATTCTTGATTTTATTTTAAAAGTAGAATTAAAGGAAACTTTGAAACAAAAAGCCATTTTGAACCCACAACTTGAAACATTTAAAATTTTTTCCTAACAGTTTAATTTTTTTCTACCCAACCAATTGAGTGAAACTGGTGTGAAATGTTTCTGAGTTGCTGCATTGGCATATTTCTCTTGGAAGAAAAGTAGTGCCTTTGAAAAACTTCTAGCTCTGCACATGTACACACACACATGCACCCTCACACACACAGTATGACATATTCATACTGAATCCTGGGGCAATCACCGGTTGCAGATGTTCCCTGTCTGTTTCTGGATTTTCAGGCACCCCATATTGCAATATCTATGGCCCCTATTGCCTACAGTCAGAATTGCCCCAGGACCCTGCACTGGTTGGTGCGGGATAGGAACTTGTGAGGGAATTAGTCTGTTTCCAGCACTGGGAAGGGCCTAGTGAACCTTTTGGGGGGCTGATGCCTGGGTTCTGGGACAGGCTGTGTCACAGTCTTATTTGTACTCTACTGCAGGTGCTGGGGATTAAAAGGGAAACAGCCTACTATGCTCCTTTCATGCACATGACCCTGGTGCAGTGTGTGGCACGAATGAACGCCCCTGATCTCACCCAGGGTCTGTCCAGCACAAGGGCCCTGATTCCAGCTAACGGATTTGCGTTATCGGGTAGAACCAATCCCTAGTCCAGATGCAACTCCAAAGATACAGCAAAAGAAGGAAGAGCAGTGAAAGCATTTGAAATGGAAGGTGTGAAGTCAGGCTTTCATTTTAACAATACTCCTATCCCTTTGACTGGCAATGGTCAGTACAAAGGAAAAAGCCCTTGTCTGACAGTCGCTGAGCTGGTGTCAAACCATCCACAGGAGGGGAAAGAGAAATTAGTGGCGATGGGCTGGAGCTGGCGTTGAAGTCCAAGCCTGTGTCCTAAGAAAACAGAACAAACCCCAGAGGGAAGAGAAGGAAAGAGCAAAGAGAAAATGCAGCATCTGTCTCTAGTGTTGATTCTCACGTGCAACCTCCCTGCTAGAGAAAAACGGACCCAGCCCAGGGTCTGAGCAGTCGCTTTGAGACCTGGCAAACTCATGCCAGTGTTGGGCTGTTGAGGGATTATGTTAGCTTCCTTTCCGATCACAGGCCTTGGCTATAGCCTGCTAGACCCCACTCCTCCCGTAGAGCCAGGGATAGAATCATAGAAGATTAGGGTTGGAAGAGACCTCAGGAGGTCATCCCTGCTCAAAGCAGGACCAACCCCAACTAAATCATCCCAGCCAGGGCTTTGCCAAGCCGGGCCTTAAAAACCTCTAAGGATGGAGATTCCATCACCTTCCTAGGTAACCCATTCCAGTGCTTCACCACCCTCCTTGTGAAATCATGTTTCCTAATATCCAACCTAGACCTCCCCCACTGCAACTTGAGACCATCGCTCCTTGTTCTGTCATCTGCCACCACTGAGAACAGCCGAGCTCCATCCTCTTTGGAACCCCCTTTCAGGTAGTTGAAGGCTGCTAGCAAATCCCCCCTCACTCTTCTCTTCTGCAGACTAAATGACCCCAGTTCCCTCAGCCTCTCCTCATAAGTCATGTGCCCCGGCCCCCTAATCATTTCCGTTGCCCTCCTCGGGACTCGCTCCAATTTGTCCACATCCCCTCTCTTGGGGGGGGACGGGGACCGAAACGGGACACAATAGAAGGGACTCCCAGCCCCCGCCCCTCCTTTAACTCACTGGAGTTAGGACTCTATCCCCACTTTGGGGAGGGGAATCTAGTGGGTTGGGGGAGGGGGCTGACTGCAGGACTCCTGGGTTCTATCCCTGACTCTGGAGGGCGTGGGGGCTATGGGTTAGTTGGGCTCTCAGGAGTGGGGGCTCCAGTGGGACTAGGGTGAGCCTGGCATCACCCCCCCCCCCCCCCAACAATTTGGAGCTCAGGCAGAGTGGCCTGGCTCCCGGGCCAGCGCCAATGAGCGCGGGTCGGGGGCCGGGCGCAGCCGGGCTGTGCCCTTGATGGACATGCAGCTGCGCCAATGGCAGCAGCCCCGCCCCGCCCTGAGTGGCAGGCGGCTGGGCCACTCCCGGACCCTCTGGCCCTGCTGCGCCGGAGCCAGGCGCTTCCTGGCGCGGCCCCCCCGGGAAGGTGAGCGAGGGAGCGAGCCGCGCTGCCGGACCCCGGCTGAGCCGTGACACCCTCTGGGTGGGGCACCCATTGTCCAAAGAGCCAGGACTCCTGGGTTCCCTCTCCGGAACTGGGAGCCAGGACTCCTGGGTTCTATCCTCTAGCGCTGGGAGGGGAGTGGGGGCTGGAGGGTTAGAGCAGGGGGGGGCTGGGAGCCAGGACTCCTGGGTTCTATCCTCTAGCGCTGGGAGGGGAGTGGGGGCTGGAGGGTTAGAGCAGGGGGGGGGGCGGCTGGGGGGGGGGGGGGGGGGAGCCAGGACTCCTGGGTTCTATCCTCTAGCGCTGGGAGGGGAGTGGGGGCTGGAGGGTTAGAGCAGGGGGGGCTGGGAGCCAGGACTCCTGGGTTCTATCCTCTAGCGCTGGGAGGGGAGTGGGGGCTGGAGGGTTAGAGCAGGGGGGGGCTGGGAGCCAGGACTCCTGGGTTCGATCCTCTAGCGCTGGGAGGGGAGTGGGGGCTGGAGGGTTAGAGGGGGGGTGGGGCTGGGAGCCAGGACTCCTAGGATCTATCCCCAGCGCTGGGAAGGGAGTGGGGTCTGGGAGGTTAGAGTGGGGAGGGATGCGGTGGGGGTTGGATCTGGGAGTCAGGAGTCCTGGATTCATTAAGTGGGTAGAAATTCCTAGAAGTTCCAAGAGACACCAACCTTGGGGTCACCCGCGCTGGGTCTGCCTCTCTCCCCACAACACTGGGGCTGGGAGGGGTGGTTCCTGTGTGTCTCATTCCTTCTGTGGCTCTAATTTCTCTTCACTCTCCAGAGAGGTGATCATCCTCTGGGCTGATCTCACCCCCCGCTTGGACGTGCCCCACCTGTACAGAGGATGCTGCAGAGGGTCCATTGCTGATGCCAGGTGCTCCCCAGGGAGATACGGCTGTGCCCTGGCTCAGAGACGGGCCATGGCTGCCCAGGTGGCTCCCCCAGCTGCTCTCAGACTCCAGTTCCAGCCCCCACCGGGATGTGGCCTGGTTCCCAAAGAGGAAGTGGAGGAGCCGGATGCCCATGGACCCATCAACATGGAGATGCATCGGCTGCGCTTCAGGGGTTTCCGCTACCAGGAGGCTGAGGGGCCCCGGGAAGCGTACGGCCACCTCTGCCTCCTCTCCCGGGCGTGGCTGAGGCCGGAGCGGTGCTCCAAGGAGCAGATGCTGGAGCTGCTGGTGCTGGAGCAGTTCCTGAGTATCCTGCCCCAGGAGATCCAGAGCTGGGTGGGGGGGTGTCACCCCCAGACCGGGGAGCAGGCTGTGGCCCTGGCGGAGGGTTTCCAGTTAGCCAAGCAAGAGCCCGGAATATGGCCACAGCAGGAGGTAATTTACGGATGTAAAATCATTAGAGAGTGGGACATGGGGCCTTTCCCCTCTAAGGGGTGCCAGCTCTGATCCAGTTCCAGTGGAGTACTGGCTGGCTCACGGGGAGGGGAATGGGTACACGGGACCTTTCCTCTCTGTTAGTAGAGCTACTGGGAAAAAATATTTTGTGGAGATGATTTTTCTCATGAAAAATGCCCGTTTTGCCCAACCAAAATTGTCCCTGGGGAAAAATTTCAGTTTCGTGGGAAAATTTTGTTTTTTTTTTTTTTGTTGGGAAAAATCTCAATGTAGGCTTCTCGCCCCCCTGCCTGCAAGTCTCTCCTCACAGTCACTTTCTGCTGGTGAAATTGACAAAAAACTTTCTGGGAGGGCTGCCTGGGTGAAAGCCGCCTCTCCCCACACGCCTCGCCTGGGACCGGAGAAGAAGAGAACCCAGGTGATCAATCCTCTGCTTCCTGGAGCGAAGGGGGAGGCGGAGAGTCATGGCTCTCGTCTTCTCCAGCCCCGGAGCTGTGGGCAGAGGCTGTGAGGTGGTCTGTCTGGTGGCTGGGAAGCTGAAAAACTTCCTCTGAGTTCTCCCCGAATAGACTTTTCTGTTAAAAACCCTTCCCCAGAAAAAAGCTGCTTTAAAAAACCCCCAACCCCAACTGGGGGTAAAAACGTTAAAAAACAGTAACATTTTTGACAGGCAGGGATTTCCCTTGTCTGGCCAGCTCTGTTTGCTGATGGGGAGTGAGGGGTATGTTGCTGCCAGCGCTGATGCGGGCGCCTTCGTTGTTCCAGGAGCTGGTGACATGGGAGAAGGAGGCTGCGTGTTCCTCTGGGGCAGGGCTGGCCCCAGAACATGGCAAGGTCTGCAGGGAGATTAAGGAGGAGGAGGAGGAGACTCTGATCTCGCCAGGTGAGGAGCTGCTTCCCCTCAGGGATCAGGAGCTGGGGGGCTCTAATGCACCTGGGGCTTTCGGTCAGGGCTCTTTCTGGGGGATCAGCCCCTGGAGCCCTCAGACCCTGCAGCACAGAGATTGTCACCCGTACAATACAGCTCCCACTGGGAAGCATGGGTGCTTCCGATCTTGCACCAGCCACACGACTCCAACCCCTTTTCTTTCTTCAGCAGAATTTCCATTTCCCAGTTTGACATGACACCCCTGATGGGAAACCGTGACATTGGCTGTGACGGTTCCCAGGGGCACCCAGAGCTGGGAGTCGCTCTGCTACCCCCTGCCTCCAATGCGAGGGATTCTTGCCCGTGGTGACTGGGGGTTAACTCCTGTCAGCCATTCAAGTGTTCCCCTCCAGGCTTTGCCAGCCCTGTATCTGCCTTGCAGGTTAACAAGAGGTGCACCCCAGTCCCTTTGGGTTGTTCTCCCACGATATCCAACCCCTGACACTGGCTACTGACAGAAATCCCAGACCCTCTGCCCCAAAGGAGCAGGGTACCCTATGTTACTAGTTTTACCTTATATCGCTGCTCCTCTAAAGTCACCCAGTACTTGTGAGTGCTTCTAATAAAACAAAAATAGGATTATTTAAGAAAGGGTAAAGATTGAACTAGAAATGAGAGAGTGGGATGGAAACAGGTGGATACAACACACAACAAAATCAGAAAATGTGACCCTGGGTGCACACTTGAGGGTGCCCCCCCCTCCCCCTGTTAAGTCTGTTGCAGAGCTGGCTTGTTTCACAAGAACCAGGATCCAAATGTTCATGAAAATACGCCAGCTGCACAAGGGGTTTCCTCAGTAAATGGATCCAGGGGACCTCTCCCTCCTCTGTGTTAGGCTGAAACAGTCTTTTGTTTCTGTTCGTAGGCAGGGCGAACCCCTGTCATGTTGTAATGTTCCTTTGTTTACCTCCAGGGGCTTTTGATTGTTTGCAGTTGCTTCTGATGGTTTTCCATGGATGGTCTTAGGCCTGGTCTACACTAGAAGATTAGGTTAGCTTAAGTATGTCAGAGATGGATGTGAAAAATCCACACCCCTGAACGACATAGTTCAGCCGACCTAAATCCCTGTGTAGCCTGCACTAGGTTGACAAAAGAATTCTTCCATTGACCCAGCTACCACCCGGAGAACCTCTCCCACCAGCGTAGGGAGTGTCTACACTGAAGCGCAGCTATGCCGCTGCAGCATTTGAAGTGTAGACAAGACCTCAGTGTTGCACAAGAGTAAACAATTGAGCCTTGAACTGTATCACTGGCTAGACAGGGCAGGGTGGCAACACCCTCTCGCCTGAACGGGCCATCCCCGAGACTTATCCCCTGGTGACTAATGTCTATTCAAAGTCCTATAGTGTCCTGTCAGTAGAAATGTATTATTGCTTAAATATTACCTGCATGTACATCTCATAACGATTATGACTCGTGACACGTTACAAGCTTTCTGTAGATACCTTACATATTACCCCTTGTGGACGATTACCATGCCAGGCAATGCCTTTGGTACTGTGAGTTTGACAGGTCTCAGGTGAGATTTGTTCGCAAAGAACCCTTTGCCAAGGGGTCGGTGTGTCACACTGGCTCAGAGACCGTCCAGGAGTGAAGGAACAGCTGGGATCTCAGCAAAGCCGTTGGGAGCCCCCCAGTTCTGTCTTGTCTCACTCAGTGTCATCCCCAGCAGGTGCCCTGGCCTCCTGGCAGGTGTCATTCCTGGCTCCCACTGCGGCAGGAGCCCTCCCCTCCCCCAGCCTTTCTCTGCGGGCTCAGCTGGGCTGTTGGGGCAGCTCCGGTCCCTCCTCTCCCCTCAGGGAAGGGTTTGGGGGATTCATTTCCTGCCCATCGGGTTTTCTGCTCAGCAACAAACCCCTTTGCTGCCCCTTCCCTCCCCAGCGCAGGGATTCTCTCTCTCCCTCCCAGCAGATTCCAGGGCAGAGGAGGGGAATCCCCAGCAGGAGGGCTCTGTGGGATCGAAGACACGTGGGACATCACCGAGCCCCAAGCAGGGAGACCCCCTGGGTAATGGACTGAACTCATCCGCCAAGCATGAAATGAGTTCCTCTGGCCTCGAGACCCCAATGGAGGGGAGAGTCAATCGGTCCGACTGCGGAGGAGAGAACCAGGGCGGGGCGTGCAGGCCGCGGGGGGACCCCCTGGCTAAGAGCCCCAAGGCCAGGAACCCCAACGCCTGCGCTGTGTGCGGCAAGACCTTCAGCAACAGCTCCAACCTGAAGAAGCACCAGACCACCCACACCGGGGAGAAGCCCCACGGGTGCCCCCAGTGCGGCAAGCGCTTCAGCCACAGCTCCAACCTGCGCAAGCATGAGCGCACCCACACCGGCGAGCGCCCCTTCCGCTGCCCCGAGTGCGGCAAGAGCTTCCGCGAGAGCTCCAAGCTGCTCCGCCACCAGAACACCCACGGCCGCGAGCGCCCCTTCCGCTGCGCCGAGTGCGGCAAGGCCTTCGGCGACGTGGCCCGCTGTCTGCGGCACCAGGCCCGGCACACGGCGCGGGCCTACGCCTGCGGGGAGTGCGGCAAGAGCTTCCGCCAGAGCTCCACCCTGCTGCTGCACCAGCGGGTCCACACCGGCGAGAAGCCCTTCACCTGCCCCGACTGCGGCAAGAGCTTCAGCGTCAACGCCAACCTGGCGCAGCACCGGCGTACCCACACCGGCGAGCGCCCCTTCCCCTGCGCCCAGTGCGGGAAGCGCTTCACCCAGAAAGCCACCCTGGTCAAGCATCAGCGCACCCACCGACGCGGTGAGGGGGCTGGCGACGCCGCAGGGCCCAGGCTGGTGCAGCACCTGCGGTTCTTCCCGGAGCAGGGCCCTTCGCCTGGCCAGATGTGGGAGATGCTGCGGCTGCAGCTGGGCGCCCGCTCGCCTGCCCCGGGGCCGCAGTGGAGGGCTGGGGACGTGCCTATGGGCTGAGAAAGGAGGGGGACCTTGGCATGGGGCGGGAACAGAGACCCCCTCCCCCGCCAGGAGAGAGCCTTACAGGACTTCCGGGGGGGGGCTACCGTCCCTGAGAAATGTCAAGACCTCAGGGGGAGGCCATGTGTGGGAGAGCGACGTTGATCTTTGCCAGGAAGACGCTCACCTGAGAGAGAAACTGGAGAGAGTCTGCAGGCTCCGTTTCTCTCTGACTGGTATTATTTGTACTACGGTGGCACTTAGAGACTCAAGGCTGGAGCACGGGCTGCCTCAGGGGGCAGGGCTTTTCCCTTCTAGGGGGCGCCAGCTCTGAGCCAGCCACAGGATGGAGGGACTGGCTGGCTCAGAGGCTGGAGAATGGGACATGGGGCCTGGCCACTTAAAATGTCCTTGGTCGTCTTCACAAACATTAGAGAGACCTTCCATGCCTGCCTAACCCCACCCCAGGGACTGGTTCCTTAATAGCCTTTATGGCCAGACAGATAGACGCTTCCAGGCAGGGGGGAGAGCCCATCTCCTTCTCCCCAGCGGTGTCTCCAGCACCCGGCTCCTCTCTCCACGAAGCATGGAGCTCAGTGGCAGCCGGGGGTGGCCCATCCTGGCTCCCAAGCAGCCGGAGAAGCTCCCAGGCTTCGGGCCAGCCCATCCCTAGGCTCTCGGCTCCAGTCTTGGCTCTCTGCTTTCTCACTGGGTGATCAGGGTCTATTGTCCCTATGCAATAAAGAAACTGTCCTAACTCTCTGTGTCCTTTGTGTTGCCCCCCGGGGCTTTGCCCCTTCACCCCCCTCACTGTTCTGTGCTCGCCCAACCTCGTTCCTTGAGAACAACCTGGCCTTGGGGTGCAGGGTTCCCAGGTGTTGCACAGATAAAACTACACAGGATCGTTTGAGGGGACAAGACCAGATGTCATGTTTATTATAAAAACACAATTTGATTTAAGACTAATATCACACACACACACGCGCGCGCGTTCTGTAGCTGCTTCATAGTTACCAGGCCTGAACGTACCTTGAGTTTGTAGTTTGTGGCAGCTAACTGGGCAGGAAAGCCGGGCACAAGGAAGAGCTAGGTCTTTGTTGGGCATGCACCCATGCTCTTCCATGTTGGCAGCAGAATGTTACCCTCCAAAGCCTTCCGTCTTCTCCATGCTTTTTGTAGGCTTGAGTTTGAATCCAGAGTCTATAGGTCTTGCTGTGTCATGCTGCTTCTGGGTTCGGTGTGATTGATCACCGTCGATTGCAGACATGAATTTCAGCCTGGGACCTGGCTTTGACGTTCCTTCAATTGTACTTCTGTTCTTTTTAGGGTGGACTCTTCTTGCTTGGTCAGGGCTGTCTTCAGCCATTGGTGTTTACACTTTATTTCATCAGGATGGGCTGGGGCTGGAGGTTGAGTCCATCATCCATCCATACCTCATTCACACATCTAAACTAATAAGAATACAGCAGGGTTTAGCAAAAATGACGTGAGCATTTAAAAATGGAGTTTGGGAGAAGTTAAAATGGAGTTTGGGTTACAACATGGACAAGTGTAAGGAATGGCAGACAGTGAACAGAAGTTACAATGTGGAAGCAGTGCAAGTTTCAGTGATTTAAGCAGCAATTGGATTGAAAGGGAAACTCAATTAGCCAGTTATTGTGGTACCTGGTTTTATGAATGAATGTAGTTTCATTCATAAAACTTTACTTATGAAGTTATATTAATAAAGTGAACAATTAAAAACAATTTCATTGATCTGTTCTACACAGGGGGGTCACTCATTGGGAACTGGGGTGCGGAATCCACCTGTCTGCCTGCAGCTGGGGGTGATTCTGGGTTTCCCCATCTGGTTGCCCCAGATCCCCCACTGGCCCGAGTGCTGCTCCCCATTTTCCCATGTAAACACAGTGCCCCTAACCCTGGATCTCCCTGTACCCCAGACTAGCCCCCTGGGGCTTTCTGCCCCCCTCGAGGGCCTGGGCCCTGCAGGAGTCTGCTGCTGTCTCTGCCCTCATTGCCTGCCTTTAGCTCAGGTACTAGAGCAGTGGTTCTCAACCCACAGCCCAGTCAGCACACAGCTGCGGCCCGTGTGACATTCTCAGGGCCATACGGGTAGTATATAGATTGTGTGGATGTGACCCACATGACCCCTAGAGAGCTGCATACGGTAAATAGGTTGAGAACCAGTGAGCGAGAGGCCGGTGTCGTAAGACCCAACTCCAGTCTGATCCTCACATGACACTCATCCAGGGACTTGCGCTCTTTCTGTCTCTTTCCAAACAAACCTTTATCTCCCTTGAGTTTTTAACACACCCCACCCCCTGCCCCATCCTGGCCTGGGAAGGAGCTGGATGGGATGGGAAGGCAATGGCTTCCCTCTGCAATGAGTTTGTTGGGTCTCAGCCCTACTGGGCCCCACAAATTTGCTCATGTGCGCTGACCAGCCTGTGCCCTGGCAGCTCGGACAGGGAGGACAAGGACTGGACAGGCCAAGGGAGAGGTCTCCAGCATCCCACTCTCATATGAAGGGGAAAGACTCAGTACTCCACCCCCCAGGCTAGCCAGGCCCCTGCCCTGGGGGCTGTAGGACAGTGATTCTCAACCAGGGGTACGCAGAGGTTTGCAGGGGGTACAGCAACTCATCTACATATTTTCCTAGTTTTCCTGATATTCTAGGATTCTACATAAAAAGCACTAGCAAAGTCCATACAAACAAAACCTGTGACCTCGGGATCAAACGGCGTGAGGGTCAGGTGTAGCGGTTGCCAACCCTTCCGGATTGGCCTGGAGTCTCCAGCATGTAAAATCTTGAGTTAAAGATGATGCCATGTGAGGCAAGCTCCGGGAATACATGCCGCCCCGCCTGGCCCACTCCTGCGCCCAAGCTCCCCGCGTGACCTCATCAGCCGCTGGGGGGCGCCACCGAGCCACGCTGTGCTCGCCTGGGGGCACAAGCCCAAGTCACCCCTGGAGTTTCCCCAAAGACCCCTCACCCCGAAAGGGACCCTTCGCTCCCCGCTGCCTTCTGGAGGCGGGCGCGAGACAACGGGGGACCGGCGGCCGCTCCGCCCGTGGAAGGGCGCGGCAGTGCCCAGCCGGCGCTGACCCGTGCAGCCGCCTCTGGGGCGCGGCGCAGCGGCTGTTCATCGAGGGGGGGTCCCTCCAGGCCCCCGGGGGAAGCGCTGGGGTCGGATCTAGCGGGTTAAAACCATAGAGCTGCCAGCCGGGCCGGAGGGGGGGGATGGGGCGAGGGAGGGGATGGGGAGGAGGCAGCGAAGGGAGCCACTTCCTGCTGCAAAAGCCAGCGGCTGCGGATCCGCTCGGCAGCGGCGGGGCTGAGCGCCCCGGGCAGGCACGTGGGTCCCCGGGCGCCGGATCCGGGTCTGTGAAGAGCCCGCCCCGGCCGGGCAGCCCAGATCCGGCCCCCCGCGGCCCGGTCCAGGCGCAGGGGAGACGCAGAGTCCCAGCGAGACGCGGCCCCGGGATTGAGAGAAACAGAGGCAGCAAATCGCTGCTTGGAGCAAGCGGCCACGGCAAGGAGGCTGGGCTGGGGGGGGCTGCGGGTCGGGATTGAGGGGCGCCGGCAGGGCTGTGTGTGGGGGGGAGCCCAGGGCTGGGCTAGCAGGGGCTGTGGGTCGGGATTGAGGGGCGCCGGCAGGGCTGTGTGTGGGGGAGCCCAGGGCTGGGCTAGCAGGGGCTGTGGGTCGGGATTGAGGGGCGCCGGCAGGGCTGTGTGGGGGGAGCCCAGGGCTGGCTAGCAGGGGCTGTGGGTCGGGATTGAGGGCGCCGGCAGGGCTGTGTGGGGGGAGCCAGGGCTGGCTAGCAGGGGCTGTGGGTCGGGATTGAGGGCGCCGGCAGGGCTGTGTGGGGGGAGCCCAGGGCTGGGCTAGCAGGGGCTGTGGGTCGGGATTGAGGGGCGCCGGCAGGGCTGTGTGTGGGGGGAGCCCAGGGCTGGGCTAGCAGGGGCTGTGGGTCGGGATTGAGGGGCGCCGGCAGGGCTGTGTGGGGGGGGGGGGGGAGCCCAGGGCTGGCATAGCAGGGGCTGCGGGTTGCGATTGAGGGGCGCTGGCAGGGCTGTATTGGGGGGCAGTGTGCAGCCAGCCTGCTGTATTCACTTCTAACCCCAGTCTGCTGGCTCCTGAGAGCCGGGTCCTTCCAGCCAGCCGGGTCTCCGGGGTGGGCAGGGGGCTGAATATTTCTTCATGGTGCTTGGTTATTTGTGCCTCTCCACGAAGACTCCTCTCCCCAGTTCCTCTCGGTCCTGGCTCTGTGGTGACTGGTGTCTTTGGGTGTTTCCAGGGCCCGAGATTCGATGGCGCAGCCGGGCAGCCTGTCCCAGGAGGAGATGGAGCAAAATACACCCCTGGCAGCAGAGAACCAACCGCTTGCTGAGCATCCAGAGGATCCCGAAGCACAGCAGGGAACGGGTAACCAGTGGGGGCTGGGCAGTGCATGCACCAGATTGCGGGACCATGACGCCAGAGCTCGGGTCACCCACGGGGGCTGAGCGGTAGCTCTCACCCGTAGTGCCTGAGCTAAGGGAGAAGCTTCGCGGGCTGGCGGGTGGCCGCCAGTTCCTTTCTGTGGTGGAAGGGTGCAGTGAGCTGCTCGGGGTTATGCTGGGCTATTGAGGCAGACCTGGCTCCTCCTCTCCCCTCTGGGGAAGGATTTGGCGGGGTGGTGGTGTGTGTTTGCTTCCTGTCCAGCAGGTTTTCCGCTCCCTTTGCTGCCCGTTCTCTCTCCGGCGCAGGGAATGAGCCCTGGCTGGATTCTCTCTCTCTCTCCCAGCAGGTACCGGGACGGAGGAGGAAATTCCCCTGTGGGAAGGGCCAGTGGAACCGGAGCCGCACGGGCCGTCCCGGAGCCCCAAGGCGGGGGAGGCCAGTGAATTGGGCCGGCAGAGGCGGGCGAAGCGGGATGGTGAAGTGGCCCCGCCAGGCCGCTCCTCCCGCGAGGGGCCCATCATCTGCGGGGACTGCGGGAAGAGCTTCGCCAAGGAGTCGGAGTTCGTCAAGCACGAGCGCACCCACACGGGGGAGCGGCCCTACCCGTGCCCCGACTGCGGGAAGGGCTTCACCAACAGCTCCAACCTCCTCCGCCACCAGCGCATCCACAGCGGCGCCAGGCCGTACCCCTGCGCCGAGTGCGGGAAGAGCTTCCGCCACAAGGAGCACCTGACCCGCCACGCCCACGTCCACGCCACGGAGAAGCCCCATGTCTGCGCCCACTGCGGGGAGGCCTACAGCACCCGCACCAACCTCCTGCGCCACCAGAGCGGCCACACGGGGGGGCTGCCCCACAAGTGCCCCGAGTGTGGCCGGCGCTTCGGGGAGGCGGCGGCGCTGGCGGGCCACGCCGTGGTCCACAGCGGGAAGCCCCACGTCTGCCCCGAGTGCGGGAAGGGCTTCCGGCGCGGCTCGTCGCTGCGGGAGCACCAGCGGGTCCACACCGGGGAGCGGCCCTACGGCTGCCCGCAGTGTGGGAAGGGCTTCAGCCAGCGCTCCTCCCTGGTGCTGCACCGGCGCACCCACACCGGCGAGCGCCCCTACGTCTGCGGCGACTGCGGGCGCAGCTTCAGCGTGAGCTCTGCCCTCATCACCCACCAGAGGCTGCACACCGGGGAGCGCCCGTTCCCGTGCCCGGAGTGCCAGAAGCGCTTCAGCGACCGCAAGGCCCTCAAACGGCACCAGCGGGTCCACACCGGGGAGCGGCCCTACCGCTGCACCGACTGCGGCAAAGGCTTCAGCCAAAGCTCAGCGCTGGCCACCCACCAGCGCATCCACACCGGGGAGACCCCCTATGGCTGCGGGGCCTGTGGCAAGCGCTTCGGAGACCTCTCGGCCCTCAAGCGGCACGAGCGCATCCACACCGGGGAGCGGCCCTACCGCTGCAGCCAGTGCGGGAAAGCGTTCAAGCACAGCTCGGCCCTGGCCCAGCACGGCCGCACCCACACTGGAGAGAAACCCTATGTCTGTTCCCAGTGCGGCAAAGCCTTCTCCCAGGGCTCCACCCTCATCCAGCACCAGCGGGTGCACACCGGCGAGCGCCCCTACCCTTGCCCCCAGTGCGGGCGAAGCTTCTCCCAGGGCTCTGCCCTCACCCAGCACCAGCGCACCCACACCAAGGAGAGCGACCCTCTGACGGGGCCCGGCGGGGCCCGGATCTACCGGGACCCCTTTGTCCAGCCGCGGGATGAGGACGACGAGGAGGACGGGGTGGGGGAGGTGCTGGTGCTGCCTCCCGGGACGTGGGACGCAGAGCTGGACGTACAGATCAAAGAGGAGCCGGAGTGATGGAGGCGGGTGGGAGCCGGGTGTTGCCGCCTGCCGTCTCCTGATTCAGCGTGGCTGGATTTGGGTGTCATGGGGAATAGTCATCTCTGCACCAGGAATCCCCTCTGTACTGGAACTGGGGGCAAATTACCTGGGGTGGGGGCATCTCCCCCTTCACCATCCTCCACTCAGCAGGGATTATTAACCCCCATAGGCCCAGCCTATCGCTACCTGGATCTCACCTTCTCTGGGCCTTATTCTCTGCTCCTTCCCCTCTCCCAGGGCCGGCGAGGGGTGCAGGGGCTGGGAGCTCTAGGGGCTGCTCCCCACAAGGCCAGAGAGATGGATGCTCCCAGGTGGAGGGCAGCCCATCTCCTTCCCGATGCCAGTAGCCACCCCCTGAGCTAGTCCCCAAGGACTGATGTGTATGGCCTTTGCCCCCAAGGCTCCCGGGCCTGTCTGGTGTGATGGGCACAAGTACGTTTTTTATCCATTGTCTCTGTTTCTACTTCATCTTAAAACAATAAACCCCCAGTACCTCCCTCACACACAGTCCATGGCGGCTCTGCAGGGCCAGCGGCTGGCTCATGCTGTAGACATGCAAAGGGCTGCGAATGAGAGTGGTTAGATCAGTGAGGTGGTGGAACTTGGTGTGTATTTAGTGAGCCAGGTCTCCTGGGTTCTATCCCTGGCTCTGGGAGGGGAGGGGCCAAACCAGGGAGTTAGGACTCCTGGGTTCTAAGCTCTGCTGCTGACTTGCTGTGGGATCTCAGGCAAGTCACTTCCCCCTCTATGCCTTGGTTTCCCAGCTGCACGGCCAGGATGAAGCTAATTAGCTCTGTTGTATGGCACCCAGATCTAGGGATGAATGATGCTCTGTAAGAGCCAGGAGCTGTTACTCTTTGTATTACAGTAGCACCTACAGGCCTCAGTCAGGGAGCAGGACCCCATGGTGCTGGGTGCGGCCAACACATCTCCTCGCACAGATTCAGTGCCAGGGCTGAGAGAGGGCTGAAAACTGGTGCGGTTTTCCCCTACAGACTACCCTGGAACCTTTGGGTCCCAACATTCCACCCACAGCTGCCACGGAATCCTCAGGCCCCCAGCATTCTGCTCCAAGCTGCCACGGAATCCTCAGGCCCCCAGCATTCCACTCTGAGTGCCATTTTCAACCACCACGGAACCCTTCATCCCTGCCACCCCCATCCTGCTGCTGCAGCCAGGTTGGCACTGCCAAGCTCACTGCAAAGCCCTGTCTCTGATGCCTGCGCTCTGGCTGCTGCCACCCAGGGGGAGGGGTCCTTGGCAGCAGCCATTTTACTATCCATTGGGCCTTTTCTCCTTGAACTGGGGAGGGAATTTGGAACAGGAAGAGGAGGGGCATCCGTGAGCAAGGAAAACCTTGGGGGGGAGGCCAGCAAGGAGTGTGTTCACCAGAGTTGGGGTTCGGCCTGAGGGTCCAGGTCCAGACTCTTGGGATAAGTCACGCAACATGGGCAAATGGATGCAAGGGGCGTGGCCTGGGGGTTAGATGCCAGCTGAATCCCAGGAGCTCACTACTGAGTGTCTAGATTGCAACCCCACTAGAGTGCTGGGGCATCGACTTAAACTACTGACCCACAGGGGAGAGGGCCCCCTACTGATCCCCCATCCTGCCCCCTACAGCACAGCACCCCCTAGCACCACGCTGGGGCCAGCACGGACTGTGGGGGGGAGAGTGCCCCCTGATAAGCCCCCCCCAGCACTACATTCCCTACCACCGCATTGGGGTCAGCACTGCCTTACAGGGGAGAGCGCCCCCTGCAGCACGGCAACCGGTAGCACAGGGCTGTGATTATGGGGAGAGATGGGGCAAGCCCAGGGGCGGCGGGTTGCGATTGACGAGGGAGGGGGAGGCCCAGGGCTGGCATAGCAGGGGCTGCAGGTCGGGAGTGAGGGGCACGGGCAGGGCCCATTCATTTCCCTGGTCTAAGCGGATTGGCTCCGGGTGACACACGTGGGGACGTGACGCCGGCAGACGGGACAGGCTCTCAGGCCCGATGGATCCCCCGCGCTCCCAGCTGGAGCCTGGTCCCTGCCCCGGTTCCCAGCCGGGGGGCGGAGGCCGGCGGCTCCCCCGGGGCTCCCCGGACCAGCCGCTGCCGGAGCCCCGCGGGCGGCAGGACGTGGGTACGGCGGGGCTGGGCGCAGGGGCGGGGGCGCGAACCGGGTCCGGCAGGGCTGAAATCGGGAGTCGCTGGAGCTGCAGAGCTGGGCTCCGTGTGTGCGGCTGGAACAGACTCGGCGAGTGTTTGTGTCTCGTGCCCCCGGGGCTGCCCGCAGGGTTCACGTGCCCCAGATCATGGGGGAGCAGCAGAGAGATGGCTCCGTGGGGCTGGGAGCTGTGCCAAGGGGGCTGGCGATCCCAGCAGCCGCCCATGTGCCCCAGGATGAGCATGACCCCAGCAGGGCCCCCTGGATGTTGTGCCAGCCACGGGTCTCCAGCAGAGCGGTTTGTTCCATAGGGGGCCATGCACACGTCCCCGTGGGGCTGTGCCCTGGCCTCTCACCTCCCTGTCCTCCCCACAGATCGGCCTGCCCTGGGCGAGGAGGGGAGCGGCCTGGCACAGGAGCTGGTGGTCGCTGCGGCTGGCTACCAGGTGAGATGCGCAGCGGGATGTGCTATCGGACAGTGAGCACTGCACCTTCCCCCTGGATCCTGCTCCACAGACTCCCCCTTTGGGCTCTCCCAGCTGTGCCCCTCGCTGCCCGCCCTCCGATCCAGCGCTGGGGGCCGTGGCTGGAGCGGCAGGTGCTGAGCGGGGTCCCTTCTGGTTCCAGGCGCCGGTGGGGTTCGAGGAGGTGGCCGTGTATTTCTCCCGGGAGGAGTGGGGCCTCCTGGACGAAGGGCAGAGGCAGCTCTACAGGGACGTCATGCAGGAGAACTACCAGACTCTCATCTCGCTGGGTGAGGCGCCGTTGCCCCTCGGGGATCAGGAGCTGATGTAGCGGGGAGCCCCGGATAGCTTCGGCTCAGGGCTCTTCCCTGGCCCCGTAGATTTCTGGGGGATTGGCCCCTGCCCCAACCCCACAGGAGAGACTGTCACCCCCACAGCCCCTCATTGGAAGGGGATTCACATGGGGTAGTTTGATCCCCTCCCCCAGGGCTCTCCAGGGCACAGGTGGCTGCATGTCCTTGCTCCAGTTCACACAGGCACTGAATCCCTGTATCCCCCTCCCAAGGCAGCTCTGTGCCCAGCAGGGGTTCTGCTCTCTCTGCCGGGCTAGGAATGGCCCAGCGACTCCCTGAGCCATTCGGGCCTCTCACTGTGTGTTGAGATCCCTGACTCCCTTATGGGGGGCACAGCCCATTTCCCCCAGGCATCACCCTGCCCCAAGGGTCCCTGTAAACATATCCTCCCCCACGCCCCCCAGCAGAAAACAGGGTCGGGATTAAAACGAGGGCGCCTTCTTTGCACTGAGCCCTCCAGGGAGACTTCACGAAGCGTCATCTCGCCTGTTTCCTTCCCCCGAGCAGGATTCCCCGTCCCTGACCTGGCCGTGATCTCCTGGATGGAGCGAGGGGAAGAACCGAGGGTCCTGGATCTCCAGGGCTCCCAGGAAAGGGAGATCCCGATAGGCGCCCACATAGGTGAGGAATGAGTTACTCTGGCTCGTAGAGCATCCGGGAGTAAAGGGAAAAGCTGGGATCCCAGCAAAGCCACTAGGAGCCCCCCAGTTCTGTTTGGTCTCGCTTAGTATTGTCCCCAGCAGGCACCTGTCCTCACGGCAGGCGTCACTCCTGGATCCCAGCAAAGCCACTGTGAGCGGCCCCCCAGTTCTGAACAGCAGCTCCCAGCCCCCAGGATTTAGAAGAGTCTGTCATGTCTTTTGCTCTTTGCACAATAGCAATAATCTGAAGAACCAATTCAGGCCCAGCTGCCCTGGTGTAACCACCAGGACTAATTACACACAGACGGTAAAGCCTAGCTAGGGGCATATTACACCTCTAGTGGCTTCTAAAACACAGTGAACACCACTAGAGGGCTCGCATGCTATTTAAAGGAATACTATGCAGTTCCTATACACCACAGAGATAACTTGAATCTCTAAGCAGCCAGGTGGGACACATTGGGGTCAGTACAGATTGTGAGGGGAGAGAGCCCCTCACTGAGCCCCCACTTTGCTCCTGGCAACACGGTGCCCCCTGTCGCTGCATTGGGCCAGCACTGACTGTGAGGTGAGGGCGCCCCCTACTGAGCCCCCAATCCTGCTCCCTGCAGCTCAGCGCCCCCTAGTGTGGCACTGGGGCCAGCCCTCACTCAGCTGGTTGTTCCCTCAGTAGAACGGGTGGCTGATGTTACAGGACAGGTTTGTTCCTAGAGTTGGGGGACAGGACCCCAATGCCAGCTAGCAGTGCTTGAGAGACTGGCATGGGGAGAGGCCAAGACCCCCTAAGCCAACCAGTCATTCCCCCCATCCTGGTCAATTTTAAAACCAAGTTTGGATGTTTTTCTAAAAGATCTGTGCTACTTCAAAGAGGAAGTAATTCGGGGATGTTCTCTAGCCTGTGCTCGATAGGAGGTTGGACTAGATGATCTCTTCTAGCCTTGGAATCTATGAAGCTATGCATTTTGGACCTTGGTAAAATTATGATTCCCGCCTGGATTCTCTCTCCCTCCCAGCAGGTGCCGGGATAGAGAAGGAGAATTTCCAGCAGGAAGGGCCTGCGGGAGCGGAGCCGAATGGGACGTCCCAGAGCCCTGAGAGGGGAGATGGCAGCAGAACAGGACGACAGCGGGCAGAGAAGGAGCCAGGGCACAGGCGCAGGAGGGCAGGGCCCATCAGCTGCGGGGATTGTGGGAAAAGCTTCACAAAGAACTCGGAGTTAATCAAACACCAGCGCACGCACACGGGTGAGAGGCCCTACCAGTGCCCTGATTGCGGGAGGTGCTTCGCCATCCGCTCCAGCTTGGATCGCCACCAGCGGGTCCACACCGGCGAGCGGCCCTTCCCCTGCACCCGCTGCGGGAAAAGCTTCAAGCTTAGCTCGGCCCTGAGCCGGCACCGGCGCGTCCATGCTCAGGAGGGGCCCTGTTTCTGCGCTGAATGCGGCAGGGGCTTCAGGCACAGTGCTGCACTGACCCAGCACCAGACTGAGCACCTGAACCATGGAGACCCCACCAATGGACCTGTGGGGACACGGGTCTACAAGGACCCCTTTGTCCAGGCACAGGACCTCGAGGGGGAGGCTGGTGGGATGTGGTATACTGAGCCTGTGAAAGAGGAGAGTGGGTGATGGGATCTGCACTTGGGTTGTTGGTCTGGGGAGTGAGAAGAGAGCAGCTATAACGAATACAGGGACTGAACCTGTGATCTCTTGATCCAAAATCTGGAGCTGGGCTGTGAGGCAGTGTGGTCTAGTGCAGTGGTTCTCAACCAGGGGTAAACGTATCCTTGGGGGTACGCAGATGTCATCCAGGGGATACATCAGCTCATCTAGTTATTTGCCTAGTTTTACAGCAGGCTACATAAAAAGCACTAGCGAAGTCAGTAAAACTAAAATTTCATACAGAATGAGAAAGTGAGCAGTTTTTTAGTACTAGTGTGCTGTGACATATTTGTATTTTTATGTCTGATTTTGTAAGCAATTCGTTTTTAAGTGGAGGTGAAACTTGGCAGTACGCAAGACAAGCCAGAAAGGGGTCCAGTAGTCTGGGAAGGTTGAGAAGCACTGGTCTAGTGGACAGAGCACTACATTAGGACTTTTGGGTTCTCTTCCTGGCTCAGCCTCTGGCTTGCTGGGTGGTCTTAGGCAAGTCACGGCCACCTCTATGCCTCAGTTTCCCCATCTGCAAAATGGGGACAATGATACTGTAAAGTTCTTTGAGATCTTCTAATGGAAATCACTAGATAAGAGCCAGGCATAATTATAATGGCTGAAAAAAATTCATTTAAACTTTATTTTGATGAAATATTGGATTTTTGATTAAATGAAGTTTTTCCATGAAAAGTGTTCGCATTCCATGGAAAATGTTGAATTTTTTTGTTAAAGAAACAGATGCCCGAAAATAGAAAAATTTAAGTCGGAAACTGAAATGTTTCAATTTGTGTATGTGCCCTAATGCTTCCCGAGAGTTGTGGTTTGGTTGTACTCTATGGACTACATCTCCCATGATGCACTACCTCCCATCTCCTGGGGGAGACCAGAGTACATCATGGGAGATGTAGTCCAACCAGGTAGGCCACTGCCAGCCTATGGAAGAGAATGGGAGCATGAGGCACCAAAACTACAACTCCCATGAAGCATTTCCAAATTTACACTTTCTGTTTTGTCTGAAATTTTCCAATTTTTGCTGGAAAAAACAAAATTTTCCTTGAAAAATTTAGGCAAGTGATTTTTCCTCCTTTTCTCATCAAAAACTTTGGGGGAGGGGGGAAAGGGGAGAGGAGAAACCCCCCAGAAACATTTTCCATGGAGCTCCACCCTCAGTCCCCTTTGGCTTAAGTTAATTGACCAGACCCGTTAGTTGGGAGGCAGTAGCGTAACCCACTGGTGATGTGTCATAGCTCCCCGTCTGTCCCTGACCCACAAAGGATATGAGTCTGTTATAGCCCTGGTTAAAGAGGGTTTGGTCTTTGCTGTAACAGCTTATACTCTTATATTTTGAAGTCACTGGTGCAATCCTGGATGGTCTGACTGCCATTAGCAGCTGTGTTATGTGAATAAGCCACAAAGCAGTTGATGGAGGAAAAAGTGAGGCTGATTGTTTTGCTTCACAACAAACACCTCCAGGAATTAGTGCAGCCCTCAAGGTGCAAACTGCTCCAGAATGGGGTTAAGTTCCCCTGCTCTGCCCCTTGCTCAGCAGGAATCATTAACCGTCTCACACACTGATTCCTGGCTCTGCCACCAACTTGCTACGTGACCTTCAGCCAGTCATTTTGCCATTGTCTCCCCTCCTATTCCTTGTCTTATTTAAATGGTGAGCTTCTGGGGGCAGGGACTGTCTCTCACTGTGTCTATGCAGCACCTGGCACTATGGGGGTCCTGATCTCAGTCAGGCCTATGCAGTGCCTGGCATGATGGGGACCTGATCTCAGTTGGGGTCTGTGCAGTGCCTGGCACAATAGGGCTGTGATCTCAACCAGGTTTGTGCAGTGCCTGACACGATGGGGGCCTGATATCAGTGGGGGACTGTGCAGCGCCTGGCACATTGGGGGACTCAATCTCCGTTGGGGTCTGTGCAGCACCTAATACCACTGGGGCCATGATCTCGGATGGGGTCTGTGCAGCCCGGGCACACTGGGGGCCCTGATCTCAGTGATGACCCTTTGCATTAGTAATATAAATAATAAATTACAAATCCATCCTGGTCCCTAATCTTAGGGCGTTCATGATTCACATCCCCAGCTTGGCTTTGCATTGTCTGTACCTAGAGGGGAAGCTTGCCCTCGCTCCTCCCTCTTCCCCTCCAGAGCCTCCTGCATGCTGTGAAACAGCTGATTGTGGTGGGCAGGAGGCACGGTGAGGGAGTGGGAGGCGCTGATCGGTGGGACTGCTGGCGGGCAAGAGGCGGGGACCTGATGGTAGGGCTGCTGACATATTACTCTGGCTCTTTGGCAATGTACATTGGTAAATTCTGGCTCCTCAGGCTCAGGTTGGCCACCCCTGATCTGGGTCAGTTGGAGCTTGGCTCAGGATTTGATGGATCTGGAGAGGAGTGGTTACTGACTCTCTGGCTTGAGAGATGTGAATTTCCTACCTTGTTACAGAGACAAAAAGGGTGGAATATGTTAAGTCTGGAAGGCACTGGAGAGATCAGGACTCCTGGGTTCTATCCCCAGCTCTCGCAAGGGAGCATAGTCTCGTTGGTTAGAGCAGGAGGACAGCGAGTCAGGACTTATAGGCATTCTGGCTGTGACATGCTGTGTTAAACTTTAAAAGTCACTTCTACCAGTACCTCACTTTCCTCATCTGTAAACCGAGGGTGATAAGACCTCCCTTCCTCCATGCAGAAGTTTGAGAGCTATGGCTGAAATGTTCTATATCTGTGTAAAATAAATGCTCTGTATGTAAGTTTTACGTGGTCCTAGGTTTAAAACACCATGGCTCTTCAGTGTGTGTCTAACACACGTGTTGGTGATGAATGCAATAGAACTATTAACGTTATATAAATTAAATCTACTCCCCCTGTTTGTCAGATCTAGCTTACTGTTATCTGTAGAGGACTAGAGGTGGTTAGAAATATGTTGATAAAATGTTTCCATCAAAAATGCCGATTTGCCAAAACGAAAACTATTTGTGGGAAATTCTTGACAAATTTCTTGACTGGAAAAAACCCCAACCCAACAGGTTTCAAATTGTTCAAATGACTTATTTTGACGTTTTTTAAATTAAAATTTTAATTTTTCCATTTCAACGCAGCTTTTCGTTTGGAAATGTAAGCTAATTATAGGGGGGAAATGACAAAAAAAGGTCAAAATTAAAGTGAAATATCATGAAATTATAATAATGAAATCTGAATCTGCTTTTTCTTTTTCTTTTTTTTTCCAGATTTTCAGCTCACTAAAGATGTCAAAATTTTAATTTGCATCCCAATTCAGGATGGGAAAAATTTCCAAAAATTTGAAAATTTTAATGGGACAGAAAACGATTTCCTGTCCTGCTCTGTGTAGGATCTCCTTTTGGATTTTCTCCTCCTCCTTTCTGATCACTACTCTTGTGTGCCCACCCCATAGCATGGGTAGGCAGGCCGAAGCTGGGATCTTTAGCCACTAAAGACGGTATAGGCCTCTGTCCCTATGAACTAAAAGATGGACTTATTTAGCAGGTAGCAGTAGTAGGTTATTCTCCATGCAGCTCCATGTCCCGGGGACAGATGGCGCATGCTTGGCTAGTGGACATATTCCCCCTGTCAGTTCCTGAGCATCTCCATTCAAGTCCTTGCTCAGGGTCTACAAAGTGCAAGGCCAGGTGGCCCCATAGCTAGAGCTGCTCTCTCTAGTGTGTCTGGCCTTTCTGTCACACCCCGCTTGTATTTCTAGGGGCAGCTGCTACCACCCTAAAGGAGGCATGTGAAGTCCTGTCAACATGGATGCCTGGTATGGCTCTTTCCCTGCTGACTTTGAGCATGCCCAGGAGAAGCCCATCTGACCTTCCCAAGACAGCTGTGGCATCTGGCCTAATCCGGAGCCCGCTCGCCCTACTGTGGGCTGATCTGGTACCTGTCTAGTAACACTGAGTTCCTACAACAAGTCTAACTGGTTCTAATTTAGCAATAACTAAGGATCTCTTCCACAACAGCCCATCAAGGAAAGGGGGTCACACTGGCACAGCAAATGTCTCCTTCAACTGCCATGAAACCTTCAGGCCCCAACATTCTGTCCTCCCGCCATTTCCAGCTGCCACGGAAAGCCACTCCATATGGGTATCCTGCATTGTCTCCTCCTCTTGGACGAGGTCTGCCAGCTGCTGCTACCAGCAGCTGTGGAAGGGGCAGGAATGTTTTTTAGGTTTAGCTTTGGTCTTTTTATTAAGACCAAAGTTTAGATATTTAAGTCAAACCAGACTGCGAAGAGTTACAAAGGGATCTCACAAACCTGGGGGATTGGTTGGACAACCAAGCAGCAGATGAAATTCAATGTTGATACATGCAAAGTAGTGGATATTGGAAAACATAATTCCAACTATACATATGAAATGATGGGGTCTAAATTAACTGTTACCACTCAAGAAAGAAATCTTGGAGTCACTGTGGATAGTTCTCTGAAAACATCCACTCAATGTGCAGCAGCAGTCAAAAAAGCTAACAATGTTAGGAACCATTAGCAAAGGGATAGAGAACAAGATATACTTCCTCTATATAAATCCATGGTACACGCACACCTTGAATACTGCGTGCAGATCTGGTCGCCCCAACTCAAAAACATATATTGGAATTGGGAAATAACAGAAAAGGGCAACAAAAAATGATGAAGGATATTGAACAGCTTCCTTAGGGGGAGAGATTGAAAAGATTGGGACTTTTCAGCTTGGAAAAGAGATGACTAAGGGGGGGGATATGATACAGGCCTATAAAACCATTATAGGTGTGGAGAAAGTAAATAAGGAAATGTTATTTACTCCTTCACATAACACAAGAACTAGGGATCACCCAATGAAATTAATAGGCAGCAGGTTTAAAACAAACAAAAGGAACTATTTCTTCACACAATGCACAGTCAACCTGTGGAACTCATTGCCAGAGGATGTTGTGAAGTCCAAAAGTATAACTGGGTTCAAACAAGAACTGGATAAGTTCATGGAGGATTGCTCCATCAATGGCTATTAGCCAGGATGGGCACGGATGTAAAACCATGCTCTGAAGTGTCCCTAGACCAGGGTGGGCAAACTTTTTAGCTCGAGGGCCACATCTGGGTATGGAAATTGTATGGTGGGCCATGAATGCTCATGAAATTGGGGGTTGGGGTGCGGGAGGGGGTGAGGGCTCCAGCTGGGGGTGCAGGCTCTGGGGTGGGGCCAGAAATGAGGAGTTCAGGGTGCAGGAGGGGGCTCTGGGCTGGGGCAGTGGGTTGGGGTGTGTGGGGAGGGTAGGGGCTCCAGCTGGGGGTGCTGGCTCTGGGGTAGGGCTGGGGATGAGGGGTTGGGGATGCAGGAGACTGCTCTGGACTGGGACCGAGGAGTTCAGAGAGTGGGAGGGGGTAGGGTGACCAGACAGCAAATGCGAAAAATCAGGACGGGGGTGGGGGGTAATAGGTGTCTCTAAAAGACAAAGCCCCATATATCAGGACTGTCCCTATAAAATCAGGACGTGGTCACCCTAGGAGGAGGATCAAGGTTGGGGTGCGAGAGGGGGTCAGGGGTGCAGGCTCCAGGCTGTGCTTACCTCAAGCAGCTCCCAGAAACAGTGGCATGTCCCCCCTCTGGCTCCTAAGTGGCTCTGCATGCTGCCCCTGCCTCAAATGCCACCCCTGCAGCTCCCATTGGCCGTGGTTCCCGGCCAATGGGAGCTGCGGAGGCGGCACTTGGGGTGGGGGCAACATGCGGAACCCCTGGCTGCCCCTACGTGTAGAAGCCGGAGTTTGCCCACCCCAGCCCTCGACTCTGTTTGCCAGAAGCTGCCAATTGGAACCACGGCCAATGGGAGCTGCAGGGGCAGTGCCTGCGGACGGGGCAGTGCGCAGAGCCGCCTGCCCATGTCTCCGCGTAGGAGCTGGAGGGGGGACATGCCGCTGCTTCCAGGAGCTGCTTGAGGTAAGCGCTGCCGGAGCCTGCACCCCTGACCCCCTCCCATGCCCCAGCCCTGATCCCCAACCTGCTCTCCGAATCCCTCGGTCCCAGCCTGGAGCACCCTCCTACACCCCAAACCCTTCATCCCCAGCCCCCTCCAAGTCTGCACCTCCAGCCGGAGACCCCAACCCCCTGCCTCAGCCCAGAGCCCCCTCCCACACTCCGAACCCCTCAGCGCCAGCCCAGAGCCTTCTCCTACACCCCAAACCCCTCATCCCCAGCCCCCTCCAAGTCTGCACCTCCAGCCGGAGCCCGCAGCCCAGCCCCCTCCTGCACCCCAACCCCCTGAGCCAGTCGGGTGAAAATGAGCTAGTGAGGGTGGGGAGAGTGAGCACCCCCACAAGGGATGGAATGAGTGGGGGGCGGGGCCTCAGGCAAGGGGCGGGGCAGGGGGCGGGGCAAGGGTGTTTGTCTCAGCAGGAAATGCTCCTTTGGGGCATGGGGGCCAGCCCTGACTGCGAGGGGAGAGCGCCCCCTGCTGAGCCCCCCACGCCAGCCGGGGTCAGCAGTGGCTAAGCGGATTCCTCTGCCAGCAGCCGGCAGGCAACCCCAGAGCGCAGCGTGTGCATTTAACGTCGGCGCTGTGATCCTGCAGTGTCCCTTCCCAGACTGGGGGTGAGGGGTGGGGGCCCCCCCCCAGAAATGCTCGTGACGCGCAAACTTTACTTTTGAATCCGTCTCATGCGAGTCAACCCAGCTGCCGTGATTTTTAAACCACTCTTGCTTTTTCACCCGGGTCACAGGGGTTTTCAGGCTAATCTCGTGATTGTGAATTTTGGGGCGATTCCCTTTCGCGGCTGACAACACGGGGGTGTGTGTGGGGGGGGAAATGCAGGGTTAAGGCCACTGAGTTCCCAAGCCGGAGAGAGAGGCGCAGGAAGTGATCTGAAATGGGGACGCAATAACCCACGGACCTTCCTGGGCCAGCCCCCATCAGCCGGGCTCGCTTCGGAGTCACTCCCTACAACCTGTGTGCAAAGGGGCTGAATCCCCGTCTGCAGCCCCAGGGCCCCGGAGGGAATCGCCCTGGCCGGAGCGGTGAGTGGGGCGGGGAGTCCCAGCGAGAGGGGCAGGCAATGGGTGCAAGCAGCCAAGAAGAGCAAATGAGAACAGGGCTGTGGGTTGGGATTGAGGGGTACCGGCAGGGCTGTGGGGCAGCACGGAGCCCAGGGCTGGGATAGCAGGGCCTGTGGGTCAGGATGAAGGGGCACCAGCAGAGCTGTGGGGGAGCTGCCAGCTGTACAGTGACTAGACTGTTTCCCAGACCCAGTTCAGGTTGTCCCAGGGTGGGGATGCGCCTCCTCAATAGAGGAGCTCCTGAACGAGGAGGGGGAGCTGCTCCCCAAGTGGCTGGAGCTTGGGGGCTGCTAATGTGGCTGATTGTGTTTCCAGCAGGGCCTGCTCCTCGTGAGAGTGGCCCTGGGCTCTAGCAGAGGGGTTTGATCCCTAAGGTACCTGGGCCAGAGTGGGTCTGGTCCCTGACCCTGTTTCCCTTCCAGATTAGCACCGGCTGTCCGGTCCGCATGAGGAGGGGAGTGATGGAGGGCAGGAGCCCCTGCCCTGGCTTCTTATGCCTGGCTTCTAGGTGAGCTTCTGCCGAGCCACCTGGGTTATCTGGCCTACCAAAGTCTCCCCTCCCTTCTCCTCCATTTCTCCCCCATCTATCCCCTTTATGCCCTATCCGCAGGGTTTCCCACCCCCAGGGGATGGTGGCGACTTGGCAGACCCTTCTCATGGGCGCAGGGGCCACTGATTCCCCCCTCCCACCCCACCGAGAAGCAGTTGTTGCCCATTGGTGATTGTGTGCCACAGATCTCCCCTCAGTGCCTGACCCACAGAGGATAGGAGTCGGTTCCAGCCCCCTTTGCAGAGCCTTGGTTCTTCAGCTCAAGCTGCAGCAGCGTGCGCTCTTAGTTCTGCAGGTCCCTGGTGTGTTGGCTGAGATGGTGGCCATCACAGCATCTTGCGTGGAGATGAGGCCTCTCTGCTCAGCAGCACAGCACAAGTCAGAGGCAGGAATCCCAGCTCCCTCCACCTGCCAGGGAACATGCTGGCTTCTCCACGGGCCTCGGTGTGAAGTTGTGGGGAGGATGTGGGGTGGCGCAGTTGGTTCAGAGGAGCAGAGGTAGTGGAGTGAAAGGCGAGAGAGACCATCTCATGGAGAGAGGGGTATCCTGGAGGAGACAGAGTTCAGGGGTGGACAGACAGACGTGTTTCGCCCAATTCCCACAATGCTTTGTGCTCTCAGAGGATCATGAGGCGGGAGGAGAGTTTAGCCATTTTATGACATGTGGACCAAAATGGAGGCTGAGAAGCAGCGAGGCATTGTGGAGGAGCAGAGCTGATGTCAGGTGGCTATCAGCTTCTCCGTTCCGGGCCAGCCGAAGCGCTTGTGAGATCACAACTCGAGGCTACAAGTGAAGAGTTGCAGCAATCTCAGCCTCTGGAGATTGCTACAGCATGAATCATCCCGGCCGGCCGGGTCTACAGGGGGGCAGCCTCCGTCTTGGCCACTCGCAGACAGGAGACTGTTTGGAAGCCGTAGCCCATCTGAGTGCGAAGCCCAGAAGGCTGTAGAGGGGAGGTACTTTGGTTGGGGTCAGCTCTTCAAAATCTCTCCCTTTGCCAGCCAACATGATCTCCCTAACTGGGAAGGGTCCAGAAGGTGTAGCTGGAGTTGTCTATTTCTTTATCTTCCTCGCTTAGAGAGGGCAGGTTTGGTACCAGGAGCCAGTTAGCAAGGACCAGAGGATTTAGAGAGATACAGGGTGCATCGGAGTCTCCCACCACTTCCTCTCAGGTTTCACTCTAACTTCCACATGTTGGAAAGGGTAATCCACCATGTTCCCACAGAGCAGCCCTGGCTCTCTAACCAGATTGATTTAGCTCACTGAAGAGAAGGTGAAAAGGTAACTTGATCACAGTCTATAACCACCTTTGTAGGGAGGAGATTCTTGAGGGCAGAGGACTCCGTTAACCTAGTAGGCAAAGTAGGAGCAAGATCCAAAGGCTTGAAGTGGACGCTAGATTACTTCATCCTGGAAATAAGGCACACATTTTAAACAGGGAGTGTGATTAACCAGCTTCTCAAAGGAGGGAGTCTTGAAATCCAGATGGGACCTCTCCTTCTAAAACTTATGCTCTAGTTCAACCACAAGTTATTGGGCTGGATACAGGAATTGCTGAGTGAAATCCTCTCGCCTGAGTTATCCAGGGAGTTGGACGAGATGGTCAGAACAGTCCCTTTTGGCTTCAATATATGGATCTTTTGATTCTGTTGTAGGAGCATATCCCTTCTCTTCCTTTCCTGCCCCAGCCCACTTCTTAGTAATCTCTCTGTTCCAAAACCGACACCAAGGAAACCTCTCGCTGCTTCCTTGCTCTCTTGGGGTTTTGCCACAAGCTTTCTGTGGTGCACCTTGTGGCTCATGCACTGATTTTGTGGAGGGAAGGGAATTGGTGCAGTGGGTTGTGATGGGGGTCCCTTGTGGTTCCAGGTGCCAGTGACTTTCAAGGAGGTGGTCGTATGCTTCTTCAAGGAAGAGTGGGGTGACCTGGACGAAGGGCAGAGGCAGCTCTACGGGGCGTCTTCCATGAGCATTATGAGACACTGATTTCGCTGGGTGAGGAGTTGCTTCTCCTTGAGGATTAGGAGCTGGGAGAAACATGTGCCCACTGAACTGCCCAGGGCAACTGCTGGGGTCATCTGCATTCTTGGAAGAGACTCGAGTCAGTTAGCAAGTTTTAAAATGGCTTAATAGTTTCCATTTGCCTGAGCCCCCCCCCCCCCCCCAGCCTCTTTGTGTTTGCATCCTTGACTCCCCTATAGGGGAGCAGCCCATCTCTCCCCACTGGCATCTTACTGCCCCATGAACTTTCCCCCTCTGGGATACTGTGTTTCTCCCAGCAGAGAACATGGTCAAGGTTAAAATCTGGGAGCGTTCCCTGTATCAAGCCCCCATGGGAGATTTCACCAAGCGCCATCTTGCCTGTTTCCTTCCCTGTCAGCAGGATTCCCCATCCTTGACCTGGCCATGACCTCCCGGGTGGAGCGAGGGGAAGAGCCGAGGGTCCCGGATCTCCAGGGCTCCGAGGAAGGGGAGATCCCCAGAGGTGACCACACAGGTGAGGAATGAGCGACACTGGCTCGGAGACCGTCCGGGAGTGAAGGGAAAAGCTGGGATCCCAGCAAAGCCACAGGAGGCCCCCCAGTTCTGTCTTCACTTGCTCTGTATTGTCCCAACAGGAACCCTGTCCTCATGGCAGGTGTCACGCCTGGATCCCATCTGCCCTGCCTAACTCCGGTAGGAGCCCTCACCTTCCCCAGCCTTTCTCTGAGGACTCAGCTGGGCTGTTGGGGCAGAACCTCTGCTCCTCTGCCCTCAGGGAAGGGTTTGGGGGATTCGCTTCCTGCCCATCAGGTTTTCTGCTCAGTGACAAACCCCTTTGCTGCCCCCTCTACTCAGCACCGGGAACAAGCCCCAGCTGGATTCTCTCTCTCTCTCCCAGCAGGTGCCGGGACGGCGAGTGAGAACGAGGAGGAGAATCACCAGCGGGAAGGGCCCGTGGGAGCAAAGCCACATGGGACATCTCAGAGCCTCAAGCGGGGAGAGGCCGTCGAGAGCCAGGGTGGTGTGGGGCTGGGACAGGGGAAGGCCCAGGCTAAATCCGCACACCAGACACGGCACAGGCGGGTGGGCCGTGTCATCTGTGGCGACTGCGGGAAGAGCTTTGTGAAGAACTATGACCTCTTCAAGCACCAGCGGGTCCACACAGGAGAGAAACCTTACAGCTGCCCTGACTGCGGGAGGAGCTTCGCCTTCCACTCCACCCTCAGCAAACACCAGCACATCCACACCGGCGCCAGGCCCTTCCAGTGCGCCGAGTGCGGGAAGAGCTTCCGGCAGAAAGGCCACCTGACCCGCCATGGCCGTGTCCACGCCGGGTTAAAGCCCTACGTCTGCGCTCACTGCGGGGCGGCCTACAGCACCCGCACCAACCTGCTGCGGCACCAGAGCGGCCACACGGGGGGGCTGCCCTACAAGTGCACGGAGTGCGGCCGGCGCTTCGGGGAGATCGCCGCCCTGGTGGCGCATCTGGTGGCGCACACCGGGGAGCGGGCCCACAAGTGCCCCGAGTGCGGGAAGAGCTTCCGGCGCGGCTCGTCGCTGACGGAGCACCGGCGGGTGCACACCGGGGAGAAGCCCCACGTCTGCCCCCAGTGCGGGGAGAGCTTCATGCGCCGTGCCACCTTCAACGACCACGTGCGGGGCCACTCAGGGGAGCGGCCCAACGTCTGCGACGTCTGCGGGAAGAGCTTCACCAAGCGGCACTCGCTGCTGCAGCACCAGCGGTCCCACACCGGGGAGAAGCCTCACCAGTGCCCCGACTGCCCCAAGAGCTTCATTGCTAGCTCCGCTCTGGTGCAGCACCGCCGGATCCACACCGGCGAGACGCCCTATCGCTGCGAGGAGTGTGGGCGCAGCTTCAGCCAGCGCTCGGTGCTGACCACGCACCGGCGGCTGCACACCGGCGAGCGGCCCTACAAGTGTGGCCAGTGCGGCAAAGGCTTCAGCCAGAGCTCGGCGCTGACCCAGCACCGCCGCACCCACACGGGGGAGTCGCCCTATGGCTGCGCCCAGTGCGGGCGGCACTTCAGCGGTATGTCGGCCCTCAAGCGGCACCACCGGACCCACACCGGCGAACGGCCCTTCCGCTGCAGCCAGTGTGGGAAGGGCTTCAAGCAGAGCTCCACGCTGGTCCAGCACACCAGGATCCATACGCAGGAGAAGCCCTTCTCCTGCACCCATTGCGGCAAGAGCTTCAGCCAGCGGTCGGCTCTCGCCAAGCACCAGCGGACTCATGCCAAGGAGAGCGGCGGCTCCCACGAGGCCGTGGGGACGAGGTTCTACAAGGACCCCTTCATTCAGCCGGGGGAGGGTGGCAGCGAGCCCGAGGAGGTGGTGGTGGTGCTCCCGCCGGGGACGTGGGATTGTGAGGTGACCCCACGGGTGAAGGAGGAGCCGGGGACACCCCTGCAGGTGAAGGAGGAACCGGAGCCGCCTCAGCATATTCAAGATGGGCCCTATCAGGTTAAACAGGAGCAGCCGGAACTGCCACGGGAAATTAAAGAGGAGCCGGCACCCTCCCTGCAGATTAAAGAGGAGCCTGAGTGAAGGGAAGATTTTTGGGAGGGGCTGGATCTAGGGTTTGGGCATCGGATGGTGCAACAGGAATTAAACGTGGTGGGGCTTTTTCCAGGGACACTGAGCCACCCGCCTACCCAGACAGCCGGGGACAAGATGGAGGGGTCAGAGCCCGGGAGGTCGGAATAAAAAATGAAACACAAACTTTATGAAGGAAAAATGTAAAGGGCAGTTATGTTCTGCTTCTCAGGGGTCCCGGGCATCTCTTCGGTGGAGGTGGCCAACAGAGTGCCCCAAGTTGGGGTAGTTTTCCCCCTTCCCCACTTGGCAGGGATCATTAACCCCTCCCAGGCCCAGCATGGCCCCTAATGGTAGAGCTGTAGCATTTTTAGCCTTGGTAATGGAGACCCCTGGCTCTGTGCCACCCATGCCTAGATGAGAGTGAAAAAATGCTTTTCATCAGGAGTTTTTGCTGGTGGTTTTCTTTTTCTTATTTCTCCCCGGTCAATAAACAGTATCTTAGTGAAGATGAACTCTTCTCTGTAGTGTGGTAGCCCCTAGGAACCCCACTCATGGACCAGGACCCCACTGTGCTCGGCGCTGTACAAACACACACCGAAAAAGCAGTTACCAGAGCGCAGATTTGACTGTGGAGATGGAGGGGGGCGATTGCCAACGTGCTGGCAGGGGAGACAGGGTGTTGGGGGGAAGAAAATAAAAATGCCATCCTCCACGGTACTCCGAGTCACGAATGGCCTTGGAGAGGCTACAAGGATTATCTTCGTAATAGATCTGTGGAGGGCACGGTACGCCTGCCTATAAAGTACATAGATTCTCTTCGCTGTGATGTCTGAGACTCTTTCTCCACAGCTGCAGGAGATTACTGATCTTGGAGATTTCCGATTACTGATCTTGGCATAGAGCTTCCTTCAGCTGTCATGGAGCCTTCCTGGCCGCAGCATACACATTTCCTGTCATTTCCAACAGCCACCTCCCCACCCGCCAGGCGAATTTCCCGCCATTTCCAACAGCCACAGCCACCTCCCCACCCACCAGGCCCTTTTCCCTCCATTTCCAACACCACGGGCCCCCGTGTTTGAACCTTCCGCTATTTGCAACTGCCACAGACCCGTCAGGCCTGAGGTCCTCCCCAGAGTCTGCTGAGGGGAATTGGGGTGGGCTTTGCAATGGCTGGGCTCCATAGCTGATCTTTCACCTCAAATTATTGCACAAACTGTGAGGCGGGAAAGGGAAGAGACTCCTGTACCCCGTGACGCTGTGTGGGATGGGGAGGGGGTGTGGAAGTGACTAGGAACATCCAGGAGTGGATTGAGCCGGGACACCAGAGTTCAAGCCCCAGCCCTTCGGAAGAGATGTGTGATCGGTACCGAACCAGGCACCATCTCAGCCCAGCACTCCCTGTACAACATTGGGGTCAGCACTGGCTGAGAGGGGAGAGCACCCCGCACTGTTTAACCTGACAGGGGTCATTAGTGGGCCAACAATGGAAAGCAGAATCGTATTCCCCCAAAGAAGCCCATGCATCCATCAGTGTGACCATAGAGGGACATAGGCGCGGGATGTAGGCTTGCGGGGAGCGCTGCAGCACCCCTAGGTTTTGCATCCCCACCTTGCGCCCCTGCCGCCCAGGGTCCCTGCTGCTGGCCCTGCACCCCTCTGCCCCCTGAGGTTCCAGCTACAGGCTCCACTGCTGCCCGGGGGCTTCGCTTCCAGCCCTGCACGTGGGGTCCTGGCCCTGTGCCCGAGGGCTTCACTGGTGGCCCCAGGGTCCTGGCCACCGGCCACAGGCTGCTGGCCACCAGCCCCGCATGCGAGGTTCCGGCGACTGGCCTCATGGCCAGGACTCCACACTCCAGCCTCCGCCGTCTTACCCCTTCCACGTGCCCCAGTCCCAGAGCCAAGGCCCTGCTCCTGGCCCCAGCTCTAGGGGGCGGTAAGGGGCACGGACAGGGGTTAGAGGGGTGCAGCTTAGCACTCCCCACTCCAAAAACTGTTCTAGCACCACTGGGCAGGGAGGGCTGACGAAGGGCAATTCCCAGTGGAGTTGCAGGCTTCCCTGGGGGAGCCTATATCCCAGATCCTCAAAGATATTTAGCCTCCTAACGTCCGTTGAAATCTCCCCCTTACAACCAGTGCCCCAAATCACTGGAAGTTAGGAGCCTAAATACCTTGGAGGGCCTGGTCTGTGGTGCACAGAGCCAGCAGGGATGGGCTCACTCATCAGAAAAGCAGTGTTTTCCGATCTGGGAAGTTAATGGGTTAAAACCAACAATCTCCCAAACCTGCCTGTGGAGAAGCGGGGACTGTAATAGCACTGGGACCTTCCTGTCCAGCCCCCTGCATCCTGGACTCAGAGTCACTCTTGTGCATCCCTGCAGCATCCTCAGGCCAGGGCCCAGGGGAATCACCCCAGCTGGCTGGGCAGTTAGCTGGGGGCACCAGGTGCTGGGGAAACACAGAGAGCAGCAGCCATAGGTGGCTCCAGGGGAGGGAGAGAAACAGCAGCAGAGGCAGGAAATCGCTGCCTGGAGGCTGGAAAGAAGCAGCCAGGATTGAGGAGCAGAGGTGGGGGAGTTTGCAGGGCCCATGGCAGCTCCAAGCCAGAGCTCTTAGCCTGGAAACCCCAGAAGCCTTGAGGGTTGCACCACGGTGAGGCCTGAGCTCTCAGCTGTGCTTGTCCTTTGTGGCTAGGATGCATGTGCCCCTCCACGTAATGCTCCCCTGTTATCTCTTTCTCCCAGGCTCTGCTCGAGTCCTGGTTGCAGTTCAATGAAGCTGGGCAGGAAGTGGTCTCAGACAAGATGGATTCCCCGAGCCTCCAGCTGTTGCAACTGAAGTGTGTATCCCAGGAGGAACTTTCAGGATCCTGGAGTGTGCCGTCCCAGGAGCCCCGAGAGCGACGGGAAAGGGGTACTGAGCAGGGTGGTCGGGATGGGGTGGAAGAGCAGCTGAGGGGGCACTGGAGGGCTAAGACCTGTGCCAAGGGGGCTGCCCTGCAAGGGGCGAGTGGGTGCCAGGGGCTCAGCACGACCCCAGCACGTGGGAGCAGAAGGGTTTGTCTTGAAGGGGGAGATACCCGCCTTGGGACCCCCACATAATACATTCTTTACATTCCCCTCCCCGGCCCTTCCCAGATCAGCTTCTGCCCCAGATATCTGACGAGGAGAGCGATGATGAGCAGGAGTCCGTGTCATCAACCCCCATGGTCGGCTTCCAGGTGAGCTGCGTGGTCAGCCCATCCTCGCTGTCGAAGGATGGAGCTCAGCGTCTTTCCTACGGGACATGAACTGGTTCCTCTCTGAGGCTTGGAGGGATCATTCAAAAGCCCTCTGGGCACCAATCCCGCTCTGTCTGCGACTTTATTTTGAACAGCAGTAGGGTGCTGGATTCTGAGGCACTGAAATCTGTTGCACAAGCCCATTGGCTACAGCAAGGGAGGGATTCAGTCCTATTTTGGGAGTAGGGAGAATTTTTTCCCTTGTGAATATCATCCCATCCCCTTTCTGCCCCACTCTCCCTCTTCCTCCCTCCCTCCCTCCCTGACACTCCTTCCTCATCCCTGCTTCCCGCTGCTGTCAGATGGGACTGTTGGGTCTCTTGTGGTTCCAGGTGCCAGTGTCATTCGAGGAGGTGGCCGTGTTTTTCTCCCAGGAAGAGTGGGGGCTCCTGGACGAAGGCCAGAGGCAGCTCTACAGGGACGTCATGCAGGAGAATTACCAGGCTCTGATCTCGCTGGGTGAGGAGCCGCTGCCCCTTGAGGATCAGGAGGTGGTGGGCAGGGTGGTTCAGAGGTGGCCAAGGTGGTTTCGGCCCATCAGATAAGTTATCTATGTGGGGTTAGATCTGGGTTTTATTTTTGTCATCTGCCTGCATCCAGCTCACCTGTGCTTGGGAATCCCTGACTCCCCTATGGGGTACAGCCCGTCTGCCCCCAGGCGTCTCATTGCTCCAAAGGGTCCCTGTGAACATTCCCCCCCTGCTTGGATCCTGCGCTCTACCCAACAGAGAGCGGGGCCGGGGTTAAAAGCAGGGCATGTTCTCTGTACTGAGCCCTTGGATGAGATTTCACCACGTGCCGTCTCGCCTGTTTCCTTCCCCGCCAGCAGGAGTCCCCATCCCCGACCCGGCTGCGATCTCCTGGATGGAGCGAGGGGAAGAGCCGAGGGTGCCGGATCTCCCGGGCTCCCAGGAAAGGGAGATCATGAGAGACGCCGGCACAGGTGGGGAATGAGCGACACCGGCTTGGAGACTGTCCGGGAGAGAAGGGAAAAGCTGGGAACGCCCGCCCAGATCTGTCTCAGTTACTATGGCAACGCCCACAGGCCCTGTTCAGGATCTGAGCCCCACTGAGCCAGGTGCTGCACAAACACAAAGATAGACATGGTGCCTGCCCCAAGGGGATTACCCTCTTGAACGACAAAGGATGGGCGAAGGGGAGACAAAGGATGGGTGAACAGGGTCTGGTTGGTATCTCTAGACATGTTAGACCCTAACAAGGCAGGGCCAGATCCTCAGCTGATGTAAACGAGTGTTACTGCATTGGTGTGTATGCAGTGATGCTAATTTATACCAGCTGAGAATCTGGACCCATTGACTCCAGTGGAATTACAGCCAGTATATACGGGCTGGGGATTTGGCTCATTCTCTTCACTGCATTGGGGTCAGCACTGACTACATGAAGAGAATGCCCCTTATTGAGCCCCTTTCCTTCCCCCACTGCCTGCAGCACAGCGCCCCCTACTGATCAATGCTGAGGCGAACTACTGGATGCTCTCTCTCTCTACTTGCTATGTGAGCCATTAGATCCATGTCACCGTCGTGGTTCTGCCGAGCTGTGATAATGTCCAGCTTCTTGAATGAGGGGTTCCCGTGAGATGAGCCTGTTTCTGATCCCAGCGGAGATATGGAAGCACATGGTCAGACCCTGGCTGGATTCTTTCTCTCTCCCAGCAGGTGCCAGGAGGGAAAACCCCCAGCAGGAAGGGTCTGCAGGGGTGGAGCTGCACAGGAAGTCCCAGAGCCCAGAGTGGGGAGAGGCATCCGGTGGCATGGGATGGCAGAAGGGGAAGCTGTCTCAGCAGGAAAGACCCAAGGCCAGTGGTCACCCGCGGCCAAGAGAGGGGCCCATCATCTGCGGGGATTGTGGGAAAAGCTTTGGGAAGAGCTCGGAGTTCATCAAACACCAGCGCACCCACACGGGCGAGAGGCCCTACCAGTGCCCTGACTGTGGGAGGAGCTTTGCCATCCGCTCCAACCTCCTCCGCCACCAGCGCATCCACACCGGTGCCAGGCCTTACCCATGTGCCGAGTGCGGGAAGAGCTTCCGCCACAAGGAGCACCTGACCCGCCACGGGCACGTCCACGCCGGGTTAAAGCCCTACGTCTGCGCTCACTGCGGGGCGGCCTACAGCACCCGCACCAACCTGCTGCGGCACCAGAGCGGCCACACGGGGGGGCTGCCCTACAAGTGCACGGAGTGCGGCCGGCGCTTCGGGGAGATCGCCGCCCTGGTGGCGCATCTGGTGGCGCACACCGGGGAGCGGGCCCACAAGTGCCCCGAGTGCGGGAAGAGCTTCCGGCGCGGCTCGTCGCTGACGGAGCACCGGCGGGTGCACACCGGGGAGAAGCCCCACATCTGCCCCCAGTGCGGAAAGGGGTTCATGCGGCGCTCCATCCTCAATGGGCACCGGCGCACCCACACCGGCGAGCGGCCCAACGCCTGCGGGGAGTGTGGCAAAGGGTTCACCCAGCGCTCATCCCTGCTGCAACATCAGCGCACCCACCGGGGCGAAAGACCCTACCCCTGTCCCCAGTGTGGGAAGAGCTTCAGCCAGAGATCGGCGCTGACCACCCACCGGCGGCTGCACACCGGGGAGCGGCCCTTCCGCTGCGCCCAGTGCGGGAAGAGCTTCAGCCAGAGCTCGGCGCTGATCCAGCACCAGCGGACCCACACCGGCGAGACCCCCCACTGCTGTGGGGACTGTGGGAAGGGCTTTGGGGACCGCTCGGCCCTTAAGAGGCACCAGCGCACCCACACGGGCGAGCGGCCCTACCGCTGCACCCAGTGCAGCAAGAGCTTCAAGCAGAGCTCGGCGTTGACACAGCACGTTCGGATCCACACTGGGGAGCGGCCCTATGTCTGCCCCCACTGTGGGAGGGGATTCTCTCAGGGCTCGGCTCTGGCCCAGCACCAGAGGACTCATGCCAAGGAGAGGGGCCTGTCAGACGTGCCCACTGCCAGCCGCCTGTACAGGGATCCCTTCATCCGGCCAGGGGATGTGGAGGAGGGGCAGCAGGGCTGCCCCTGGGGACACAGTGCACCCAGCCAGGCTGAAAGAGAAGCCGCAGTGATAGAATCATAGAAATGTAGGACTCGAAGAGACCTCAAGAGGTCATCAATTTCAGCCCCCTGTGCTGAGACAGGGCCAAGTAACCTTATCCCTGGCAGGTGTTTGTCCCTCCTTTTTCTTAAAAACCTCCAATGACGGGGGTTCCACAATCTCTCTCGGGAGCCTATTGCAGAGGTTAACTACCCTTAAAATTAGAAAGTTTTCCCTAATATCTAACCTAAATCTCCCTTGCTGCGGATAAAGGCCGTTGCTTTGTGTCCTTCCTTCAGTGGACAGGGAGAACAATTGATCTTCATCCTCTTGATAACAACCCTTGACATATTTAACGGCTGTTCTCAGGTCCCCCCACAGCCTTCTTTGCTCTAGACTAAACGTGCCCAGCTTTTTAAGAGTTCTGCTAGGTCAGGTTTCCTAAACCTTATATCATTTTTGTTGCTGTTCTCTGGACTCTATAATTTATTCATATCTTTCTGTGGTGCCCAGGATTTGACACAGTTCTCCAGCTAAGGCCTCACCAGCGCCGAATAGACCAGGACAATTACCTCCTGTGTCTTACGTAAGACACTCCTGTTAATCCACCCCAGAATGATACTAACCATTTTTGGTCATCTTTATTGGTTCTCACTCATCTTTATTGAATTTTATTGATGCAGGTGGGCAGGGTGAGAGGCTGGATTTGGGCATCATGGGGAACAGGAGGAGGCGTTTTAAGTCATATCTATCAGAAATCCCGTTCTTTCTGGGGGCACGTCTCCCTCCCATACTCCTCTCCCAGCAAGGATCATTAACCCCCACAGGCTCAGCCTGTCCCCTAATGTCTGTGCCCATCCCATGCGGGCCCCATCTCTTCACTCTCCAGGATCTCACCAGATCTAGCCATCCTTCTCTGCTCCTTCCCCTCTCCTGGAGCCAAGGTCAGGGGTTCGCAGACTGATCCAAAGCCCATTGAAGTCAGTGGGAAGACTCCCATGGGCTTTAGTTCAGCTTATTAATTTCTCTGAGTCTCTGTTCTCAAAGTGTAAAATGGGGCTAATCAAAATTCAGATGATGAGCTCTTTGGGGCAGGAACTGTCTCTCACTGTGTGTCTGTGCAGGGCCTGGCACAACTCATTTATTTATCGATTCATTGATGCCAATGCCAGAAAGGACCACTGTGATCATCTAGTCTGACCTCCCGTGTAACACAGGCCAGAGAGCTTCTTCAAAATAATTCCTAGAGCAGAGCTTTTCGAAAAACATACAATCTTTATAAAAACTAATTTCCCCCTACTGTTACTCACACCTTCTTGTCAACTGTTTGAAATAGGCCACTCTCACTACCACTACAAAAGTGATTTTTCCTCTCTTGGTATTCTACTGTTAATTGAATTGTCTCGTTAGCACTGACCCCTCCACTTTGTAAGGCAACTCCCATCTTTTCATGTACTGTATATTTATACCTGCTACTGTATTTTCCACTCCATGTATCTGATGAAGTGGGTTTTAGCCCACGAAAGCTTATGCCCAAATAAATTTGTTAGTCTCTAAGGTGCCACAAGGACTCCTCGTTGTTTATGCTGATACAGACTAACACGGCTACCACTCTGAATCTTGATTTAAAAATTGCCAGTGATGGAGAATCCACTGCAACCCTTGGTAAATTGTTCCAGTGGTTAATTCCTCTCACTCTTCAAAATTTATGCCTTATTTCCAGTCTGAATTTGTCTAGCTTAAAATTCCAGCCGTTGGATCATGTTATACCTTTGTCTGCTAGACTGAAGAGCCCATTATCAAATTTCTGTTTCCCAAGTAGGTTCTTATGGCGTGTAATCGTGCCTTCCCTTAACCTTCTCCTTGTTAAGCTAAATAGCTTGAGCTCCTTGAATTTGTCACTGTAAAGCAGATTTTCTAATCCTTTAATCATTCTTGTGGCTCTTCTCTGACTTCTTTCCAATTTATCCATACCCTTCTTGAATTGTGAGCACCAGAACTGGACACAGGATTTCAGCAATGATCGCACCAGTGCCAAATACAGAGGTAAAATAACCTCTTTACTCCTCCTTGAGATTCCCCTGTTCATGCATCCTAGGATCGCATTAGCCCTTTTGGTCACAACATCACACTGGGAGCTCATGGTCAGCTGATTATGCACAACAGCACCCAAATCTTTTTCAGTCATTGCTTCCTAGGAGAGAGTCCCCCATCCAGTAAGTATTTTGAGGTGGAGGCCATCCAAACTATACAGCCCCCCTTGCCCCACAGAAGATGGGCAAATGTTCTACAAAACCAAAGCCCTACATCCTACACCACTTACCAAGCCAGGGGTTCACTTCCAGAATCTTTTGTCTTCCTTTGTGCCAGGGACAGGAAGGATCTCAGAGAAGATCACTTAGGCCAGTGATTTTCAACCTGTGGTCCGTGGACCCACTGGGGTTGGTAGACTATGGCTAAGGAGTCTGTGAAAGGTGACTACGAAAATAAAGTTTCAGATCCCAGAAAAGGCATTCCATTTTTATGATCAATCAAAAGTATGTGAATACTACAGGTTGAAACCGAGAATTGTTGTCGTTACCGTAGAAGCACACAGTTTAGCCCCCTTTCTTGCGCTGTGTCAAATGCTGTGCTGAGCACATGCAACATTTATAGTTGAATTCTGTTCAGTCAGCTTTCAGTCTAAGACTTCTGTGGAAGGGGTCCATGGACCACAGGCTGAATTTTGAAAGGGGCCCACATAGCCATTCGAAATTTTTTAGGGGTCTGCAAATGAAAAAAGGTTGAAAACCACTGACTTAGGCATTCTCCTTCTTCAGCACATTTCCCAGTCCTGTGGTGTCATCTACAATCTGCAAGATATCCCATGAGAGATCTGCAAAATATCCCACAGCACAGTGGGGACCCCAAGCTCGGTTGGGAGTCTATGCAGTGCCTGGCACAATGGGGCCGTAATTTCAGTTAGGACCAGTTAGCTCTATTGCAATACACTCAGTAATAAATTTGGAGATCTCTCCACTAGAAATCAGACCAAGATCTATTCTGTCTTTTCTTAGCTTGCTTTGGTTCTGGTGGTTTCATATTTCCCATGGATGCCCCCTCCTCCTCATATAGTTATGCATCTAATCCATACATCCATCCATTCCCACCTACCTATCCAACCAATTTATATTAGACCCATCTCCATACATACTGTCTAAGACCCTCCTAACTGGTTATGTGTAATTTCTTGACACTCTCGTTGGTACAAGTTTGTGCATTCTAATTTTAGTCTCACCACTAACTTAAGAGGAATCTTGTGTGTACAGAGCACATCAGCAAGTTTTTTTGATTTGTGCATAACTTTTATTCTGGAAAATTCAATAAACAAGATGTCAATTTAAAAAGAAAAATCATCTTCCTGGGTTTTTTTGCTTGTATTTTTGTCCTCAGATTGTTCCAGATGTCTTGATTTTGTATCCAACTACCTTGAAATTTGTCCAGGTTCTGGGCAGTAGGGCAGTACTCCTCCCAGTAGGAGTAGTGGGGGGGCAGACATCCTGATGAGCTTGAAGATGGAGCTTGATAAATTTATGAATGGAATTACTTGACAGGTTTGTCTATGCTAGTGGAGGACTGGAGTCAATGGCACAGGAGGTCCCTTCCTCTCCTAGGTTCCTATGAGCCTCACTGACTGGGAAAAAATAAAAATATAGCTCTCTGTGATAAATCTGAGAATGCTCTTTAATAATTACCTCTATGCTGTCTGGAGCTGTCACTAGAGCCATATGTCTATACCATATAATGAAGTAGATATTTCACGCTAGGGGTGTGAAGGAGGGCAGACACTTTTTCTACTAGTTGCCTAGCAGCTTAAAATGTATAGATTCTAGTCTGACCTGTATAGCACAGGCCATTAATGCCACCCAGTTATCCCTGTAACGAGCTCAATGTGTTTGATTGAAGCATCTTCCAGAAAGGCGTCCCATCTGGATTTGAAGAGATGGAGAATGCACCAGTCCCACTGAGAGTTTATTAACCTTTGCATCACTTATTCCCAGTAGCTATAGCTAGAGTTGAGGGGGGCAGAGTTAAGGTTGCATTGTGTGTGTCGGGGGTGATGTATATATACCTTAACTCTTTCCAGGTTTTCGGTGGGTTAAGTTTAGCCACTCTCCACACTCTGGAAAGGTCTAAGACAGCAGTGGACAACCTACATTCTGCCTTAACAAAGTTTTTGGTTTAGCCTGAAGAGCAGCTAGTCTTTATGAAGGCCAGCAAGAGCTCAGCTGGGTTAGAGAGCTGGAGCAAGGCTTCTGTGGTAGAGGAAAGAACTGAGTTATTAGTGTCCATCACAGCTCCGCAGCCAATACAGAACAGCTTTCCATGCCTTTCCCAAGCTCTTCCCACACATTCCTTGCAATCTCCCGGAACGTCTCCATACCCCGTTCACTCCACTGCTTCAGGCAGCTTCCAAAATGATAGCTGGACTTACACACAGCTATGACACCCTACACTGCCCTGCACTCTTATCTCCCTTCTCACCAAGCTTTCTGTGTGTTGTTAATTGGTATTTAATGCGCTGAAAGATAGCCAATCTTTATCTGTCTCCTACGTGTGGTGGTTGCTGTTGGTAATAATACATAGTATTTGATCATTTGCTTGCAAATCCCAGTCAGGAATCATCACAATTTTCACGCAAGGTGACAAGTTAACAAAGCATGGCAGAGTGCTGTATAGAAAAACACATCACTGGTGCTCATTGACAAAATGTTGCCTCAAAGCCTCCCTGATTCGAATAGCCTCCCATAATGCCCCTCTAATAGTCCTGGTATCTGGTTGCTCAAATTCAGAAGACAGGTGATCCACCTCCACGCTCCACCCCGGGGGGAAACTTTTCACCCTTAGCCTCACAAATATTATGGAGTGCGCAGCAGGCTGCTATGACCATGGGAATATTTTCTTCATTTAGGTCTAACCTGTCGTAAAGTCAGTGCCAGCATGCTTTTAATCTGTCAAAGACACATTCTACGGTCATTCTGCACCTGCTTAACCTATTGTTGAAGTGCTCCTTGCTGCTATCTGGGTTTCCCATGTAAGGCTTCATGAACCATGAGAGCAAGGAGTACATTGGGTCTCCCAGGATCACTATGGGCATGTCAACATCCTCTCCTGGACTTTTCTGGTCTGGAATGAAAATCCCTGCTTTCAGCTTTCTGTACAGGCCAGTGTTCCTGAAGATTTATGTGTCATGCACCTTCCCGAACCACCCCACACTGATGGCAGTGAAACACCCACGATGATCCACAAGTACCTGGAATACCATAGACAAGTACCCCCTTTCTGTTGATGTACTCTGTCACAAGTTGGTCCAGGGCCAAAATTGGAATATGTGTGCCATCTATTGCCCCGTCACAGTTAGGGAATCCCATTGCTGCAAAGCCATCCACTATTTCATGCACATTGCCAAGAGTCACAATCCTTCATAGCACGATTAGCTGCTGCCCGAACAGTTGACTTCCTGACTCCAAACTCATTCGCGACTGACCAGTAGCAGTCTGGAGTCGCCAGCTTCCACACAACGATTGCCACATGCTTCTTCACTGAGAGGGCAGTGCTGAGATGAAAGGTGGCTTTCTGCTCCTACTCGAGATTCCCCTGGTCACGCATCCAAGACTTGCCGTAGCTCTTTGGGCCACAGCACTGCACTTGGAGCTTGTTTCAGCTGATTGCCCACAATGACCCTTAAGTCCTTTTCAGAGTCACACCATGCCCAGAACATGTGGTGAACTTGACTTGACTAATCTTAAGGAAACCCAGAGAGCAGAGTGATTTCTTTATAGAACTGCTTTAATTTTTACAGTTAGGTGGTCCCTAGCTTCTAGATGGTCACTACAGAAAGTCCATTCTTGGATGACGGTTCCTTCACAAAATCCGCCGTGGTAGCCACATTGTGGATGGTCTCCAAAAATACAAAACCAGGAAATGTGTGAGGCCCATGATGGAAAAACTGGTACCATCCTTCCATGTAACTAATGGCTCATCAGCACCTACGCTCCCTCACCATTCTCTCATTAACACATGGCAGTTTCTGGATTCTTGCATCGTGAAAAAATAGGGAAGCAGCTGTGAGGGCCTAGTCAAGGTAAAAGTTTATGACCCACTCCAGAGATGGTTAACCTAGAAATACAGAGCTACTTTAGAGCTTCATGAGAATAAATCCCATTCACAATGTAACAATGAAAGTTTTCTCAGGCCCAATTTGACTATGTGATATTTCCCACCCAGAAGCAAATGTCCTAGTCTGGAGGCGGGGTGGGGGGTGGGAAGCAGCCTTTCGATCTTTACTGCCCACAGTAGCTGACAGGGGATTGATTTGTCTGGAAGATCCAGTAACCACCTGGAGTATCTTGCTATTTCAGATATGATGCTCAGATCAGAAAGCCATCCCTTCCAGCACTGTGTCAGTGAGCCAGCAGTTCAGGGAGATGGCCAGTGACTGGGGTAACCAAGGATTCCTGTTACCCATAATTCCAGGCACTTGATGAGCTACTGCTCAGCAGATGCTGATCAGCAGCTACCTGACCCTCGCTAAAGTGTGTGTGTGTGAAAGGTTTTGAGGCAGCTGGAAATGGTGGGAGGATGGAATGTTAAGGGGATGAAGGTTCTTTAGTGGAAGCTGGAAAATGGCGGGAAGATGGAGTGTTGAGGGGATGAACGTTCTTCAGTGGCAGCAGGAAAATGGCGGGAAGATGGAGTGTTGAGGGGATGAACGTTCTTCAGTGGCAGCAGGAAAATGGCGGGAAGATGGAGTGTTGAGGGGATGAACGTTCTTCAGTGGCAGCAGGAAAATGGCGGGAGGATGGAGTGTTGAGGGGATGAACGTTCTTCAGTGGCAGCAGGAAAATGGCGGGAGGATGGAGTGTTGAGAGAATGAAGGCTCTTGGGTGGCAGTTAGCAATGGCAGGAGGATGGAACGTTGGTCCCAAAGGTTCTGTGGCAATGGGTCGAAACATTAGAACGGGGGCCAAATGGAGAAAATCGGGAAGACTTTCCCTTTCAGGGCAGCTGAGGAGGAGGAAATTTCAGTAGGCAACATATCCCCTATCCAACCCAAACCTACCAGAGGCAGAGGAATTTTCTTCCCTCTTCCCCGCAGCTTCCCTGGAGGGCAAATATTTAGGGGAAAGATGTAGGGTCTTGGCCTTGCTTCCTCTTCATCCAATATTCCACCCCTGTGCAATAAAGTACTGTGTGACCAAAGTTCTGTTGCACAATCCTTCTGGTAAAGGAGTGGAGTCCCCCCTTGAATGTTAGTTGCTGATGCGGAGTTGCGATGCTCAGACCTATGTAATATCGATGTGGCAGGAAAGCTTTGGCTCTGTGCTGAATAGATTTGTATAAGGGAGTGAGGAGATAAATCCTGGAGAGATCGGGCATGTCTGGATTCCCTGTGGTTTTCTACAAACACTCATAACCATTATGAGCTCCTTCTCTCCCTTTGAATATTGCTAAAAAGCACCCAAATCTGGGAGCACCCATCTGTCCAGCTTGTTTGGGAGGAGTCCCTCAGGTTCCCAGTGGGCTGTTGAGCTCACCCTGACTGCTCCCAAGCCTTGAGGCTGTGAATCCCCTCAGACAAAGCCTCTGGGAGAAGGGAAGGGGCAGAGAGAAAAGCCCAGAGTCAGCAAGATACAGGGGAGTGACGGAACGGGGTTCCTCCTGGGATGGGTACAGACGTTAAGGAGTGAGATGGGCCTGCAGGGGTTCATGATCCCTGCTGAACATGGCAGATAGAACACTTTGGCCCCAGCTCCAGCATGGAGGGGGCGTGACGTTATATGATTACAATATAACCATATAGAACATTGTTGCAACCACTGTTATATATTTTCAGCAAACCTTGTACAAAGGTTGTCAAGTGAGGTATCTATGAAAAAGTTATGATTTGCTGGTTATAATTATGCTATCTGTATGCATGTATCATTTTTGTATGTGAAGTTATAAGTATTGGCTCTATGCTTGGATTTCAAATGTTGGCGCCTGGGGTAACATCCACAAGGCAGCTAGCCAGCACATCTTGGAGGGACTGTTCAAATTAAGTGGTTCATCAAGAAACACTTGGTTAACAATGGGCCATGGGAGACACCCAACTAAACTGAGTGGACTGTCATGTAAACGTGCTGTCTGGAGTGCAGGTAATGGTGTCCGGCAATGACTGAGGGAAATTGGGCATGAACATGTGACTTAGAATCATAGAATCATAGATGATTAGGGTTGAAAGAGGGTCATCTAGTCCAACCTCCTGCTCAAAGCAGGACCAACACCAGCTAAATCATGCCAGCCAGGGTTTTGCCAAGCCGGGCCTTAAAAACCTCTAAGGATGGAGATTCCACCACCTTCCT